CTGGAGGTCGTTCACTGGGTTTATATTATATATTATATTGGGTACATAGGGGATCTTGTCCTTGACTGGGTTGTAAGTGTTACCGGCACCAGCTCTAGGGGAAATCTGGACCAGCAGCAAGGGTTACACAGGCTAGGGAGTACTAATACATATATACCAAAATATAAACTGTGGATTGATAGAGAGATGACGAAAGTTAGCGTCTTGCTCATGCCAGAGCTTGTTTATTTCTGAGCTGCGCATGTGCAGAGCTTGTAGCTACAGTCCCTCTAATGGATCCACAGCAGCACTAGAGCACCACCTACTGGCGGGATAGTGTGTACTACCTTGATGTAAAAGTTTTAGTATGAATCAATTATTACAAAAAAATAGAGGGGGTGTCTGTTTAAACAAAAACTTAACATATGGTGTTTCCAACCCACTACATAAGGGTCATTGGGGTCTATGGTCCTTGACTGTTTCTTGGAGGTACATAACTGGGTTCTGTTTTAGGAGTCTTGGGATCTATTTCTTCTTGATTACATTGTAATGGTTTTTGACTGGGATATGAGCTCTTATTAACGTTCTAGAGATCCTGTATTGGGCTCCTTGAATATATTCTGTGACTGATTATGTTCTTTCTGGTCCTGCCTGTGAGACAGGTATGGAAATTTATTGCAGTGCCTCTCAAATTTTACCGGATGGCATGAGTTATTGTTTGTCGTAAAAAGAGCCATTCTCTGTGAAAATTGGTTCAGTCTATTGTGTTGCTGCCAGTCTGTTTATTTCAGAGATGTGGATTTGATATTGTCACTGGGCGCCTTTGTTAGGAGTGATGGGAGCAGTACAGTTCTCTTTTCTTTTCCCTGCACTTTGTTACACTGGTTTTCATTGAGAAATGAGGTATGTTTAAGCTTGGTGGTGATGAAACTGCCTCACTGAAGTGTGTCACATCCACTTGTGTAATTACGACATACTATGTTTCTTTCTTAGTTTCTTCTTTTCTACATGCTGGTTAGGACTAGTTTCAGATGAACAACCATTAGACCTTACTAATCCGTAAAACCTTAAAATTGGTGATTGCAAATGCTACACACACTGACTTTAAAGATGTGACTTTAAAGGTGTTCATGAATACGTTCATTTGTGAGTGTTTCCAGGTGTTGGGTAGTACAACTACATAGGGCTGTGAAGTACAGTCACAATTTTGAAAATTTAGACTTGACTTGCAACTTGACTTGGACTTTAACATCAATGACTCGTGACTTCACTCGGACTTGAGCATTTTAACTTGAGAATACTTGATATTCCCCCAAAACCCAAAGATTAAAATGTGTTATTTAAAAAGTCCGGCACAAGTCAATTAATTTCCCTTCATTCCATTAAGTGAAATTAATGCTATACATTCCTACCAAGTCAACGCTTGAACCAGTTGGACAGCATCCAATCAAGTTGCAGGAGAGAACCTCAAAGAACTAACATTACATTACTGAGCAGCAGTTGGAAAAAATTATAATAATATAAAATTATACCCAAGTTTTGTTTTGTTCATTCTGTTGCTGCTGCCAACATAAACCTGACCAAACTGTCTATAGTCAAGTTGCATTGTGGGTAAGAAGGCACTGGGTTTTGACAAGGAAGAAGAATGTGTGGAATAAAAAAGTCGATATCTTTGGCTCTGCTGCCTCGATTTGGAAGCTTTTTTACTGTCTATTTTGAGTCTGACAGTGTTACAGGAGTGCTTGTGGGTCTCCAAGCAGGTCTTCCCAGCGTAACAGATCTGTATGGCTATCTGCCCATCTACATGTATTAAAAGACAATAAATCGGCAACATGACCTCAGGACAGCAGCTTTCAATAAATTTCAGCCTCTGATCATTTCCTCAGTTTAACAGGCTGAGACGTCCATAAACAGTGTCCCTGTGCTCAGTGCATGTTTCCTAACCATCAAGAGCTCAATGTACAATGGAGATGGGAGGGCTTGTCTTCCTCACTTTTGTTGTTTCAGGTTTCTTTTCATGCTGATATCTCTCTAAACAATGCTCTCTCACTGTTTTTTTAACATAGTCATCTCATAGTCATAATCTGTCTGAGCCTAACAAGCAGCAGGGTAGTGTATATATTCACTGTGTTTTTAGCACTGGTATGAACAGGACTAATAATTACTGCAAAGACAACCAGTTTCAGTGTTAACATAATCATTTCTCGTTGGTAGCTAAATTACTTGAAATTTGAATCTTATTTAAAATGGTAGCATGCATTTTTTTCTGCCCTGATTCCTCCTGCTTTTCAATGTGCTAATGAAATACATCATTTATTTCTTTACAACAATGTTCACTTCTATGCAAATACAGCATACAGAAATCCACTCAAATACCTCCAGTTTCAGCTGATAAGATGTGAACAGGACTCAGAGGCAACACCAATCTCCTCCAAAAAGACCAGCTGTGTTAAAGCACATTTCAGTGAGGTTTAACATGAAATTATGGATGATAATGATGCCCTTAATGCCTTCTGTGTGTCTATGAGTGTGTATGTGTGTGGTGGGACAGAACCTGCTGGTTTGAAGGTATGATTTTTCTTAATTTGCCCTTAATTGCCTCTGTAATGAAGTCAATTGTCATGGCACTTCATAATCAATAACAAATTTATTAGTCATATGCTGGTAAAAAAATACGAAGAAAATGAAATATTGTAAGTTAAATCTCTCACATGGCTGGATAAAGATAAGAGACTGACATCACAGAAAAGGGTCATTCTGAACACATTTTTCTAAATGCATATGCATATAAATGAATGTTTTCTAAAGGAGTTCAAAATGAAAAGCCATATACTGTACAAATGTCTTTTTTGGTGCGGGATCAATCTGGAGGACAATCAGTGTAATCGGGCAGCAGACTTTAGTTATTTAATCCTCTAAGCACTACCACCATCATGTGGTCACAGGGTAGAACACCACTCTTACCACACCAACTCTGTACTGATATTTTGACTTCCCCTTGCCAATGCAGAAGACTTTCTGTTTACAGCTGTTTTATACAAGAGCAAAGTTACCATAAGATCCACATGACCACACATGATTGTGATTTGTGAAATTCCATGAATTCATCGAAGTCAAAGAAGTCTATGTATATTTTTCTTTCAGTTGCTAAAAAGGTGTCTGTGATACAGCCTGTCACTGTATTGGTATCACAACATTTATTTTAAGTAAATTGGACACCAAGATAATACTAAGTTAATAGATGTCCCCCTAAATTGATATAATTTATAATTTGTTTTAATGATATTTTCTTTTGTTTCATTGTGTTGCAGTTATGAATTTCTAAAGCCTGTGCAGCAGCCCCCTGGAAGCTGAAATCATCATTACACCTTAAAGGTAGGCAGAAAGTGACAAGATTTTGTTTTTGTTCAGGCCTGGTGGATTTTTTCAAATGTCATTAGGAGCACTAGGAGGAGCCAGAGGAACCAGATTTTTTCACAGATGAGATGAGAGAGAGATGAGATGTTCCTTTATTGATCCCCCCTAGGAGAAATTCAAGACTGACATATCAGCATAGGGCAATGTAGTGCAAAAGAGAGTACAAAAGTGGAGGTACAACAAGATATCAAAATAAAATATAACAAAATATAATAGAAAATAGAAGAAGGTGTTGTGCCCTCCCCAGCAAACTACAGCATAAAAGAGCGCGCTCCTTGGTCTTGGAGGTGTGCAAATATTTGAGCAGCTTGACTAAAACTAAACTGTACATGTGGAAATTAAATATAAATAGTGCAAAAAGTTTGTGCGTTGTAGGTTAGAGTTTAAACCAGTCTTAGTCAGCGGGGGTTGGACATACTGGGCGCTGTGGCGTGGTGGAGTCTGATGGCTGATGGTACAAATGAGCCTCCAAACCGCTTTGAGGCTCAAGGCTGGGTCAGTCTGTAGCTGAACGTGCGCCTGAGCTGCCTGAGCTCAGTGTAGAGAGGATGAGAGGGGTTGTCCATGATGGCTTTCAGCTTCCCCTTCATCCTCTTCTCAGTCACACAGATTATCTGTGACATGTTCTTCTGTCTATGTCTGTGAAAGTTTCAGCAAATATGACAAAACGTTATTTTTTATAAGTTACCTACTGTAGCTGGGTGTTGACACCTTTTGTTGTGAAAAAGGTCTGGATTTCTGGATATGTTGGATGGAAGACTGACCAACAGACAGCGCCATCTTCAGGAAGAACATTTTTTAAAATACTGGGCTTATCACTGCCCTAAAAATTTCTGTGTATTTTCTTTTCCCCCTAATTATATTCAGGGGTGAAGCTCTTCTGCTCTGGTCCTGTCAGAAAGATTGAGGGGAAATCCAGACTTGACTTACCCTTTTCATTGTGTTTCTAAATGTTCTTATGTATTAATTTGCTGTAATAGAAGGGTGAAAGTCACTGTAAAAATAAACCTACCTTGCCTTGATGTTCCAATTCACTTGCATTGTAAACCCAGATAAGTAAATTTAACTCAAAAACTGATTACATCGAAAATTTTAAGCAAAACTAATTAAATTTAATAAGTTAAAGAAACTTTTTACCTTTAAGTGATACTGACTTAATTTTGTCATTTTTATTTGTTCTGTCAAAATATAAAGTAGTAAAACTAGTACTTAATCAAGAATGTTTTTACCTATCGATTGAGTTTGTGTTACTTCAAATTTCCGATGTAATACATTTGAACACATTTTCTGAGTTAAAATAACTTATCATATTACAGTGTGAAATATCTACTCCACCATGGAAACCTTATAATATTCATAGGTATGTTTTCATTAGTGTATGATCACCTGCATATGAGAACTGTGTTTTTGTTATGTTAGAAAATGCTCTAAATGGGGCCATTTGCATTTTTTGCAGCCACCATAGTTTTTCCTACTTGTTGGAAGGCTGAGCTGTGTCCAAGTTGTTGCAATTTACAAGATGCCACTAAATCCTTCACATTGGTCCTTTAATATTATTATGTATTATTAGGTATAGGTATAAATAGGTACATCAGCCATGGAAGAAGAGTTGATAGTTAATTTTATTATGGGTTCATCAATAGTTATGGACATATAATCATCTCTTTACAATACAACATAAGATCAAAAGAGCATGACAGACCACTTCAACAGAATCTCAAAGTAAAAAAAAAGTCTATAAATAAGAGCTTAAATAAACCAAATACATGTTTTCAACTGAGATATAGATTCATAAGTACTAATATTGTGTCTGCATGCATCATGAAACACCCTCAACCATTTTCTGTACAAACACAAGAGATCTGCCGCAGGTATGAGTAGAGAGTTAATATACAGAATGACTCTATGAGGCTACTAGACCGTACTGAGGAAAGGCCTGACATAGAAAACAAGGGACTCAGGAAGCACTTTATAGAGACCTAAAATACCCACAGTGCATCTTCCATTATGGCAATATATACATATGAAACGCATACAAACGTAATCACACAGACTCAAGTGTCACACACACACACACACACACACACGCGCGCACACACACACACAGTTTGAGTAACAGACAACCATGTCTGGGAGACCCTGATTTTATAGACAAAATGTTCCCTCTCTTCCTGAGGAAAAAAAAAGCGCACAAAGCCAGCTCTTGCTTGGAATTACATGGTTTCTGAGCAGCATTACATCCAAGGGTGTCTCAATGGAAGTCCAGGACTGCCAATTTAAAAAAATGTAATCATTGTGTAAAATTTCAATTTCAATTTGTGTGCATAATGTGTGATGAAATTTAAAAACTTTGTTTTCATGTTCATTTTAAGCATGTGCTATGATAATAAAACTGAATACAAAATAGATTTTTTCAAATTTAAAAATAACTATGTCCTTTTGGCTAATGACCATAGCAAAGACAATTCGGATACTGAGAAAAACACTACTGAAGAAATAAAGATTTGGTTTTATTATATATTAAAAAATCAATTTTTTAGGAACATTATGTTAATTGCGATGTGTAATTACATGGAATTTGTTACAAATATTTTCAGTGCACATTGATCAACAAGAAATTGAAAAACATATTGAATCTTACTTTTTTAACACGATTATTGTCAGCTGATTGGTGCATTGTTCTGTTCATTATCAGTCTCTTATTTTCCTTTATTCATGCTTTTTATATTGTTTTTATTTACAAGTATTTAATGTAATTCTTGGTTTGGGAGTACAGTGTAAACCTGTGGCTGTCATATATTGCATTTAACTAGAAATTATATTAAATTATGTTTGTGTCAAGAATAAAACAAAGCTCTAGTTTGCATTTCATTTTCAGGTTTTGGTGGCACAGTTTTGTCCTATTTAAAAAAGAAAAGTCCATTCACATTTTATTTAATTTTTATGTTAGCCTTTTTGATTTTCCTTTTTAATTTCATATATATATATACATATATATGTATATATATAATTTTATAATAATAACTTTATTTGTTTTAATTGCAATTTAAATATTGTCACATGCAAACAAATGGATCAAACAAAATGAAATTTCAGTTTGATGAAGATTTTCAATATTGGCATCCCTGTTCTTCCATTGTTTTCTACCTTTTTGCTGTTATGTCTCACATTCGTCACTTTTGACACCACAGCTTCAATGACTCTCCAGCAACTGTGTTGCATCTACACCTGGGAAGCCATGGGTTGATTTCTAATGTGAGTCATCATGTCTGAAGAATATTCAAGGTTTTCATTTGAGAAGCTTTCAGAGCCTGTAAAAATTCCCTATGTGCATATCTTCCATCTTTCCTCTGGTTCACATTCCTGTTGTTCCTGCTCTACTGTTCCTCCCAAACACACAGACAGTAAGCTTGCTACTGGAACACTGAAGAATGATTCATTAAATGGTTCAAAGAAAAAAAAAACCTAAACTTTCAGCATCTGTATGGCCCTTTCCTCTTGATAAGAAGGGTATTTCACATTATATATGGCTCACTGTCATTGTCACTGTCATCATCATTTAAACACAGAGGTAATCAGCTCCTGTACAAAAATACATCCCCTCCCCACGCATACATACGCACAACTAATCTTTACAAAAGAAGAAAATAAATACAGAATACTTTCATCAACAACACAGCATCATCATCATCATCATCATCATCATCATCATCATCATCATCATCACAGAATAGTCTGTGACTCCTACTTTTGAGTTCCAGATGGTTGGTCTGGAGAAATGAATGGCAGTTATATAAGAGATCACAATAAATGTTGGCATAAGTAGTAGTAGTGGTATAAATGGCCTTATCACAGATAAACAACATGAAGTGGCTCTAAGAAAACTGTCTTGTTTTCTTTGTCACTGTTGAAACCAGGTCTGGCCCAGCTGTGGAGCTGTAATATAGAATATGAAATCCAGATGGATTTGGAATGTCTTCTTATGGCACTTTATTACTTTTTGTCAGAAAGACCCAAAAAGCTTCTCATCTGTACTGAGTGTATTCACCTCTGTGACCAAATTCATCTTCGTATTGAAAGTGATAAGTCCAAACGTCATAATAAGTTTGGTGTGCTTTTTATGTTTTTGTTTGTTCTGTGGGGTTTTTGCATTGAAGGGGTACTCCAGAAATTTAGGTTAGCATAAAGGCAAGGAACTCACAGGAGATATATTAAGAAAGGATGGTCAAAATTGAATCAGCAGAAGCCAGGTATCCTGACTTTTAAGTGCTTAATGAGGATCAAGCTCCAAAAAAACTCAATCCTAAATTTCCAATAATGCAACTTAAGGGCAATTCTTTGTTAGACTGCCTGGTAAACATGAATATCTCTCAAACTCTACATCCCTAGTTTGTATCACAGGCTTTCTGTTATAAACAGTTTGAAATCGCACACTAACATACTCCCTACTACATACTCAATCAGTATGCCAGCAGACTGTTCAAAATGAAGTATATAGGCTTGTTTGAGATGAGCCAGGCCGGTGTAGAACTGATCACTGGCGATTGCCGCAATATGCATGCCAGTTAGATTTGTGTCCGACTCAATGCCAACTTTCTTTCCCTTGTAGTTTATTTTATCTTGAGCAGTGCTTCACTAATCAGAATAGATATGATACAGAAGATAGGAATGTTGCTCAATTTGTCTGCTGCAACTGTGGAGCTTCTCAACACCAAAAACAAAAACAATTCACCATCAATAAACAGTAAAATGCCAATATTCCAGTGATTTCTTATTAGCGTGTGATTTCGAATACAGCTAACCCCAGTGACATCATTGGGACATCATCACGGTTATTTTCTAAGCTTTGACAAAAGCTCCTGGAAACACATTATACCACAGGCTGAGTAGGACACAAAACGATGTGAAAAATGAGTAAAGTCACTGGAGTGCCCCTTTAAAGTGACAGTAGCAGACATGACAATAAGGCTGGATAAAAAAATGAAGAAAAAAAGATGCAGAATCCAGAGTATAATTTACAGTTTAGTTTGATTTATAACAACAAAATGATTGCTCTGATATTAAGCTGTGTTAACCTAGCTAAGCCGGACATGGCAATGTGAAAATAATATGTCAGGCTTAGAAAATAAAAGCATATTAGGTCAATTATAAGTAAAAAATACATTAACACAGATATAAAGTTAGATTTCCTAATCAAAAAACTTAATATGATATTTTCTAACTCTGGTGGGCTCAATACACTTCTTCAAAAGTCAATAAGAATATATGACAGTGTGTTTTTGTCATCCAGCCATATTGCCATTTCTGGGGACTACTGCACAAGACAATTAAATAGTGCATGGGCAGATTTGGTAGAGATAACTGGTCTTCCTACTTAGCTTAGTTCACTGCTGAAAACATCATCATCAACTGCTACTTAATTCCAATTATAAACTTCTCTCATCTCTGGAGAAGGTCAGCCTACCCTCTCTGGATAGAACTGCTGATTGTGCCTTTATTTATAACATTTTAGCAAAGCAGCAGCTCCTGTTTTTTCAAATAACATGCACAGAAAAAAAAGGACTAAGGGTAAGTAGGAAAAAAGGACAATTTCCCTTGACTACAGTTCATTTTAGAGTATAGAGTCAAATAGTACACAGAACCCAGTAACCATCAGTACACTGAGAAGTTGACTTATATCACCTTTTGTAACTGAGAGCCTGATCACACTACAGTATGTTCCACTCAGTTTAAGTCAACTGAAGGGAATTATCATGAGCAGTGAGCTTGTTCACTGTTTCACATATTCTTTGGTAAATGATTTTGATATGTGAAACAGCTCTGTAACCCCGTAGAAAAGACACATTCCTGACCTGAGGAGGATGCTGCAGTGTCCAAAACGAAGGCCATCTTTTTAGCTTGCTATGGGTGCTTTTCACTATGCTAAAGCATTTCCTTGAGTCTTAGCTCCTCCCAGGAGCTGAAGCTGTCAAATGAGAAATCCTTGGTTCCATAGTCTTAAGCAATGTTACAGCTGTATCACCTGTCTTAACCAATGGGATGAATACAGAGCCCCTTATTTAAAGCTGCAGTAGGTTATTTTTATAAAAATAACTTTTTGTCATATTTGCTGAAACTTCCACTATGTCCTGGCAGTAGTACATGAGACAGATACCAAGAAAGACAATCAAGGGTCCCAAAGCATCTGTATTGGACGCCCTGGGAATGAGACTCAACAATCAACTATCTTCCAACCCAAAGCATCTTTAGATCTTTCTCAGCTTGGATTGGTTGTTTTTGTTCAGGTCCAGTGGATTTTTGCAAATGCCACTAGGAGCACTAGAGCGAGCAAGAAGAACCTGATTTTTTCACAGATTATCTGTTTCATGTACTGTCAGGATATTGTGAAAGGTTCAGCAAATATGAAAAAAAAAAAAAAAAAACCAACAACATGCAACTGTGCTCCATTATATTATCCATAGATCCATTGTGTGAGTTCCACACCCACCCGATGTTTGTTGTTGTACTTTTATATGTAAGTTATACTCAAAAGTTATTCTTTGAATTTACCTAATTAAATCATGGAACATATTTCCATGTGATTAAATGGCTTTCTTTCAGCATTAAATGTAGTTGGTTTGGATCAACTTAATTTACTAGTGTAACGTTACTGTAAAATTAGTTAGACCAACCCTATTAAATGTACTTATTAAAAGTCAGACGCAAACCTAGTAAATAAGTTGAATCAGCCTTACTAAATTAGGTTGACTAACTCAAGTAAATTAATTTGGACAAACATAATTGCTTAATGCTGTAAGAAAACATCAAAATTATGTGGAAATACTTTCCATTTAATTAAGTTCATTCAAAGAGAGAAGCCTCGTCTCTCTACGATGTGCATTTAAGGAATTGGAAGATTCCCGACAATGGCAGAGGGGGAACGAGGGGGAAAGAGGACAGTAGGAAGGAAAAGTTGGCATAATAAAAAGCACCCTATATGGTTCATGGTAGGCATTTAGGTTGCAGAGACACCTAGCTTGTTGTATTAACTGAATCTCCACCACTGCCTGTAACCACAATGGCATGTGAAGGAATGTTTGATGTGACCAGACCCTCAACCAAACTGAAACCATTACAGCAATGTAGAAAAAGTGATATAATACATAGCGGATAATAATGTCAGGCTATTTCAAAATTGGTCAAAAATACAGTGTAGATTAAAAATGGTCTCATCTCTGTACAGAATTGGTTGACAAAAAGCTATTACTGAAGGCTATATTCAACTTATATTGTCTAACTTGGACAATCTGTGGTAATTTTGTTCAGGGACCTTTGAATTGAATTTGAATGTTTAGCAACCAACCATTGGTTTACTACTAATGGACTAGATTTGTTATCAACTGGTGTCCAAAATTGTCTGATGGCTGTCTACACAAAGACAAATGCAGCTTTGATATTTGTCTGTATTTAAACAGCCATAAGATCATGTTTGTGTTACTACCAGTTTAAATGAGATTTCTACAACCTTAAATCTTGGCAAGGCTTGTCTTAACGCCCATTCTCACTTCCAAGTCTTCAAATATGGCAGCCTGGTCAGTGGCCCTACAATAGGATGCTGTAGGTAATGTCTGGTGTAATGTTTTAATGTGCCGTTAAAGTCAGGTGACGTAATACAAAAGTAGGGATGTCACAAGAACTAATATTTCAGTACCAAGTTGATGACAAAGTTCTGAAATGTAACGGTACTCGTCTTTATCTACAGTACTGTAGACTTAAGAGTGAGAACCTGTTTATTTACCTAATGAAGAAAAAAACTGCACTTTTAGTTGCACAACTAGAGTATCTTCTTCAGCTATGCCATCAGATTAATACTACACTGCATATTCAACTCAGTCTCATCCTGTTTTATTAATTCTAAGGTCTTGTGTTACATAGTAAATCTCTGAGCACCTCTATAAAATCTCCACCAAGTATTGCTTAAGTGTAAATGTACCCTGTAAATGACAGTTCACCTTGAAATCCAAGGAGAGAGGACTTAAAACCAAAGAGGGAGAGAATGTGTGACCTCTGCACAGGTGGCAATCATACAAACACCCAAATCAGTTCATTTCCCACTATTATTAGGCATTGTTTCCCTTAATGTCTCTGACAGTATCAGCACTTTATAATTCACTTGATGGCTTTCAATGTTACACAAGCAGGATTATAATAAAATTCTGTGTATTTACAACTCAAAGCAGCTACAAGGAGCTTTCGTTCTGTGTTGATTCTGGCGGCCCCTGTTGACAAAATCAGTAGTGTTTCTACTGCCTTGTTTCATTGATTTCAATTTGAATCCCACCCTGTGGCAGGCATTAAGAATGACTATATATAAAAGCCAATCTTCTCTCTGATGGTCCTCTTTGTTTATGTAGATCATATAGAAGCATCATTATTAAGTTTCACAACCAGTTAAATCTCCTTGTAGTAACTTTTTTTTTTGTAGTTTTGGTCATCAAAAGCTGAATTGCTAAAATACAGGCAGGACAACCAAATGAGCCATTGGACAGTTTTGAAACAAATCCCCATTTTGATTTTTAAGAGTTTTAGAAAACTTGGTTAAAACCTGTCTGATGGCTCCTGTTTGTGCCCCGTGGAGTCCCATAACACAGCTGAGAAACTGTTGAGTAAAAAACAAAACCATCACAACCAAAAAGAATGATGTCCAAAACTATATATATTAAAAAAAAAAACATTAAATTTAGTAAAATAACAGATTTCTTTCTTTTAAATTATTGTCTCCATTTTTAAGAGGTGTCATCATAGAGGAAAAAAATACCAGTCGATCATTACATGGAGCTCCTATGTTCGATAAAGAACTGATGTAATATGGAGACAGAGAGGAAGATGAAAGGTAAACAGTGATCATGGCGTTCTCTCCCCAGAGGGAAGAGAGGGACACTGTTTTTATATTACAACAGCCTGCAGTGTTCATACAGCCACAAGACCTGAAAGGATTATGTGTAAGTGTTGATGTGTGCAGTGTGTGTGGGTGTAAACCAGTGTTTTCATATGACAAAAGTTAATTAATTTTGTGTGTGTGTGTGTGTGTGTGTGTGTGTGTGTGTGTGTGTAAGATTATCCATCACCGTTGTACATATACATTTTTGTGCAATATTACAAGACCCACAGACAGAAACCTTTCAACATCTTGCAAAAGTAAAACCAAGTCCTGTATGATCTGACAAACCTGAGAGACTGAAAAACACTGGCACCACCGCATCTCGTCTCCTACCAAAAGTCACTTGGTTTCTTTTAAGCCTAAAGAGTTCCCATGAAATTCAACCAGCCGGGGCTTTATGACGTTCTGTTTGTGACACGGTTTATGTCAAGTCCGTGATCTGCACCAACTAAGAGCGTTTCAGATGCGGAGTGTCTTCAGAGAGTACCTGGCATTGTATACTTGAATATTTTGTCCTTAAAAAGGATAGAAAAATGTGTGTTTCTCTACTATGTTGATATAGTGGCCAAATTCGAGCCGGAGCCTGCATGTGGTATTTCATTTAGAAAATTAACCAGATTCTCTATATCATAAAAATTGACCAGTTGCATATTCTCCACATAGCATTGGAGAGAGATGCTTCAGATGGAATCATGAATATTGTCTAGAACGGGCACGATCAGCTTCATTGCAGTCGGAAGGTGTCACGGCCCGGTGGAATTCGGGGGTTAAGTATGCTTCAGATGATGATGTCCAGCCTTTAAAGTCGAAGTGCTTCTAGCTGTACATATACTTGCTTTTATCTACACGTTCTTCTGCGCATGATGGGAAACTCACATAACCTGCGTTTGGACCATTGGTTGTGCACATACAATTGACACATGGGTTAAAAAGCAAGTGTGTCTCTAGCCGCCTGTCATCATATCCTCCTCTTTGCTGCATCCCACTGCCTCCCTCATCTTGGTTTAAGATGCTGTTAGATGATGATGATTAACAGTCACCTTGTTTTAAACCCTCTGGCCCCTTTAACTCTAGACTCACAAGACAGTTTCTAAAAGCTTTGCTCAAAAGAGACTGAGGACTTTTTTTTTTTAGCCTTTGTTCCTAAAACTGTGTGTAAACAATTCAGAACCAATCGAAAGTCTACTACTTTAACCCTAACCAATGACCACAATCTTTCTGTAACATTAACGAAGTCAGTGACAAAACAATCTCACCACAAAGTCCATTCACTTCACAAGGCAGTGTTCCAATATTTTAGATATACAGCATGTACCTAAATCATGGGTCTACACTATAAACATTAGTGTACGTTATTACCAACCTCATTACACCACGTAACACCTCAAAAAATATCAGGCCCTCCAATACAGTAGCGTCGGCCTACCCTATTCAGCTACAGAGAGTTCATGCAAGAGGCAAGTTGCTTTCTAATAAGAAGATTATTTATTCTTGACTGTTGATGAATCCTGAATGGAACCGTTCAAGAACCAGAGCTTATTTGGTAGAAAAGGGAAACTCTCTCTGTGCTACGTTCCTAAACATGACTATTTAGCAGATTTTTCTGCATACCACTACAGGCTGCTTGCGTACCACCAATGGTACATGTACCATGGTTTAAGAACCAGTGTAGGTTTTGACAGCTCTCACAGGTCATGGTCAACTGATGCTAACCAATGAAGGGTACAGTATGTAGGATCTTGTGGGTCTTGGAGATTCAAATGCATATAGCATGGTCGGAGTGTGTCTGCGGGGGGTCAACTTGTGTATTTTAGTTTGAAATGTGCTTGTGGTTCGTGCTTTTTCTTATCTATAGATTTTAAGAAATACTCACAGTCTGTGTGTTTATATTACTGCAAAAATTGTATCTCTAATTTCTATCTGTTCAGCTCGCATGGGCAATGCATATCCAAATAATGTATTCATATTCAGTTACACCCACATACTGTACCTTGGTGTGGACAACCATACATTTTTGTGTTTGTGTTGTGTAGGGTGTGTGTACTGCATGTCAACCCTGTGTATGTCCTCATAGCCTCGTCTGCGCCTCAGGTATGTAGATCTCAATGCTGTCAGCACTCTCCGTGGCTGAGTTTTGCCGTACGGATGCGGCCCTCTTGGCGGCCATCAGGCGCTTCCTGGCCTCCTGTCGCTGTTTCTCTGAGCTCTCCAGTGAGCGGTCTCTGGCGAGAGGGGGGTGGTGGTGGGGGCCCTTTGGTGGCTTTTTTGGCACTGGAGGTGGGAGCCGCCTCTCCTGGTGGGAGAGGACGGTGGGGGGAACGGGGGGAGAACATTTCAGGAAAAAGACAGACATGTTTTTGTGTGTGTCTGTTTGTGTATGTGATGCCCATTAAATGCTGTAGGCTTTTGGTTTAATGTATGTCTGTGTACATGACCATGTGTACTGTAAGTAAAGAAGAGGTAAGATGAATTGGACATTCTGTATGATTCTGTTTTGATCAACATTTTTAAACATACTGCATCACACATTTTTGCTACATGCTCTTATTTTGTAATTTTAACTTGTGCACTACATTTGTTTCCTTTATATCTAATATATACAATTTTCTTTGCTTTACAACAATCTATCTGCATTGGGACAGCTAAAATAGTACCTATTGTACATTACTAGCAAAAACGTGTTAGTGTGTGACTCAATCTTGTTCCGTTTTTAGGCTTTCAGATGCATGCAAGGCAGGTATTTTAATATTATAACGTAGATTTTCAATTGTGTGCAAGTCTATCTCTGCACTTGACACCAGTTTAACTTATTAATGGAAGAAAATCTAAAAAAGTATCAATGTTTTTTTTTGTGATATTGTATACATTTTCAAAAACACTACTGATTTTAGTGTTGCCCCCAACTGCTGGATAGCAATATTGTAAACATAAACTGAGGGTTTTGATGTTGGATGTGACAGGGATGGTGATGAAAAAAAATAAAATCACATTATATTGCTTGCTTACAGTATCTTACAGTTACAGTATATTACAGTATACTGAATCGTAACCCCTGTATCATGTATGCACGTATTGTATTGCCAGATTCTTCCTATGCACAGCCCTAATTTCACTACTAAGCTGAAGACACAATGTTCTATCTTTTTCATTATTATTGGTCCTGACTCTACCTGTGAACAACATTCCAAACCCAGACCAAAAGTACTGTCCTGTAATGATACCCTTAATAGAACTTTGGCGTCGCTTTCAATTAGCTAAGCTTTGACAAGCATGTTACATCTGCTTTTCTGTCACATGTGTAGATATGTTTATCAGTTTAAACTGGTAGATTACAGCCAGTTCCCAGTCAGATTACTATCACTGTGAGAGCCTGGAGACTGAATTAGCTGCTTGAATCTTAGCTTCTTCACCCTTGCTCCCTGTGAAATTCTGTATTTACTTATTTATTTTACTCATTTATTTGTGAAATTCCATCATGTACTGAACTGACTTTAGAGGGTCTATGTCAAGAGACCAACCTGAAGACTGCTGCGTTTCCAGTACAGCACACATCAGCTGTACCAGCTGTATACCCTCACAGCAGGCGGTAACCCCCCTGATCTTTATTATATGGAAAGACAAAGGTATCCAAAACACATAGAAATGAAGTATAGGGTGAAGAGTAAGACTTGGCTCTTCCATATCTTGTAATGATTGGAATATTGCTTTTGTTTCTTGTTAGCGTTGTCTTTTTATTGCTGTTGTAACATATTTGGTTTTGTTTCCCTCCTAATTCCAAGTTCTTTGTTTTATTGTTTATGCATGTCTCTTTAATTTGATCTCTGTTTAAACTGCTGTGTAAACAATGTGCTTCATAATGTAAAATGTATTTGTAGAGAAGGAACATTCGCCACACTCTCTCCTGTCCATCTATACTGACACTGGCAGGTACAGCACACACGACAAAAAGCCACACATGGTGAAGCATCAGCAGGCATCAGAGGAAATGAACGAAGGGCAGAAGAAAGCATGGAGAGATGGATGGAAAGACATGACATGATGGATCTACGGAGGCCCAGAGGTGTCAAGGCCCCGAGGTGTTGTTGGCATTGCAGTTATGCTGATTGATGAGTGGCTGTTTGCAAGCGCCTTCACTGTCAACACAAAAAACAAAAGCACAAGAAAGAAAAAGACAACAATGAGAGCAAATGAGGAAGCCAGCAGAGTCAGTATTCACAATGATGCAGTGCCACAACAGATACTGCAGAAAGAGAGCAAGAGACCAGGCACAAGGCATCTGAAAAAGATCTGCAGATACGCTTAAAGATATACACAAGGAAGAGTATCTGCATCACCATAGAGACCAAGTCAGACACCAATGCACTAACTCTGCACCACAAGAGGGAAGCTGAGTGATGCAGCAAGACTAAAAATAAGGCTTTCTTTGGTTCTGTCATGGTCATGTGCAGCTTGTGAATTCCCCTAGATAAAAGCTATTTTAATTGTTTTGCAACATGGATTCAACAGCAAACCCCCATTTAAAGGCAGCATGAGGAAATTGTACAAAGATTGTATCATTCAGAATGACTGCTGTCAATACTTTAACACTGGGAATTATAGCTGAATGTGGAATGAGCATGGAAGGCAGGATCCAGGAACCGCTGGTGTGACTACACTCTAATTAAGCTCATTAAGTGTGAGTCTTGAATGGGGTTGGGTTTTTCTGATACAGGTGCCTTAAAAGGATACTTTTAAAAAAGTAAAAAAAAAGTGCCTGAACTGATACTTAAAAAGAAGCACAACATTTTTGCTAATACATATTTGAACTGTTACTAAGTAACAGTACTAAGTACAACACACTTAATGGTCCAGTGTGTAACATTTATGAGAATCTATTGAAATAAATGGAATATAATATTAATATATGTTTTTATATCAATGTATAATCACAGATAGGGGGGTTAGAGTTTTTCAGGCATTTTGTGGCCACCGTAGTTTCTCCTTCATGCTTAGAAGGGGAGAGTGAAGCGAGGGAGTTTCAATCTGCAACTACAGATGCCACTAGATGGCACTAATTCCTAGATGCTGGACCTTTAAATATGATATAAATAGATGCAAAACACTATTTACATAACAAATTCCTGTAATAAATATAACCTAACCCAACTACAATTATTCAAAACTAAATAACAATACATTTTGTATTCTTAGTACTCTACAAACTCCAGCTTCAGACTTCTGCTGTGATTTAGACGTATATTTGCTAACCTGAAAAAAGGTTGATGTCATCATTATCATCAATGGCCTGCCCATCATTTATATCTATGCTCCCCATCTTCGGGGCCGAGGACGCCCAATCGGCGTTGTGATTTTGTTCGGTAGATACCAGTTGTATAGGCACCGTATTGGCACCGTGTTTCAGTACCCAACCCTAGTCTGGAAATCAAAAAACCTGTAGCTTTCAAAGCGCTCTGTGAGAGGACATGTTTTATATAAAGACTTCAAATATAGGCCCCTCTCCATTATACGATAACAGCAGTCTTACACATCATGCCACGGTGTGACTAAAATGGTGCTCAATTTGTGTCAGACTATGATCTCTAATTAGAATGTCTGGCTGATTATAAATACAATATTGAAAATACAATAGCTATGCTATTGGACTCTATGGCGATAGGAATTTTTTTGTACAGATACCAGTGTATTTGAACAGGACAGTATAGTATGTCTTTGGGTGATTACAATGTGGCATTAGACAGTGTATTCTGTCATATTGTCATATAAAAACATATATGATTATGATTATATTAACGACCCGATTAGATTGGAACAGTCACAATACAAGAAATGGTGAGTTGTTTTTGTGTATACACTGATAGATGAACCTGCACTTTGACCTATTTTTATGTCTGTCTTCTAACATTGTCATAATTGTATTTTTTTATTAGTTTTTTTGTGGTGTCTATGTGTACTTCTTCTTGCACACTTGCTTGCCTCAAATTGTCCCTTGAGGGACAAATAAAGTATTCTGAATTGAACTGAATTTAATTTCAAGCTGTATTCTGAATGGTTAATAGACATGGGATGTAGCAACGGTCACAGCACATTTAATCCTAAATTTGTGATCTGTGTTTCATATCATGAGTCACATTCACAATAGCCACGGAGTGAAAGAAGCAGCACAAAATTAAACTGTTCCATTTAGTCTCATTTTGCTCTCTCAGGTCAACCAGTCAGCCTGGAGGCACACAGGAAGCTTGTGTTTGTACCTTTCTCTCGGGGGGATCCAGGGGCCTCCAACTGTTGGCTCTGAGCTGGTGAAGCTCATCAAACTTGAGGCTTATGTTCTCGATCGACAGCTGAAGCATGTCCCAGAAACCAGCCAGGTCTGAGGCCACGGGACGAGGGTGGGCGTTGGGGTTCTGTGATGGCAGAAAAGGAGGAGAAGGTGGAGAAGATGACAGCCAGGGAAGAGAAAAATTAGTAAAAGTAGTTTTATACATTACATCTTCAACTTTGTTCGTAGAACAGCTTAAAATACAGAATACAAAATATGAAAAACAATATATATATAAATCATTCATATGTCAGTGAGATAGGTTTCATTAAAGCTGCAGTAGGTGACTTTCATAAAAATAACCTTTTGTCATATTTGCTGAAACTTTCACTACATCCTGACAGTAGTACATATATAGACAGATAATCTTTGAAAAAATCAGGTCCCTCTGGCTCCTCCTAGTGCTGCTAATGGTATTTGCAAGAATAGACTGGGCCCAAACAAAAACAACCCATCAGAGCTGGGAAGATGAAAAGGGTTGGTGTCTTGAAGATAGCTGAGTCTCATTCCCAGCACCGATATTTGATGAGCTGAGAATGAGACTCAGCAATCAACTAACTCATCATTGCCATGAAAATCATTTTAGTCTTTCATATCTAGATGCAAAAACAGTATGTCAGAAACATATTTATTAGACCATTGAGAAATCAAAGAAGGCAGAGGAGAAATGAACAAAATAGAAAAAGTGACAGAAGAGAATAATTGAAGGAACAAGCAGGACTAAAATGAATGGGTAAAAGAGTATTCAAGAAACAAAATATGTCTGTAAATCAAATCTTAGTTTGTTGCATAGAAGTGAAAGGTGTGACATTATTGTAAATGAGTGATTTCATGCTCTCAGTGTGAGTGTGTAAGTGTTCCAGACTCACCAGATTCTCCTCACACAGCTCCCTGAACTGCTGAAACTTCTGGGATATCAGAAGTTGAGCACTTCCCACAGCACTCCTCATCTTCCCGAGGACTACGAGCACAGACACAGAGTTCAGAGTGAGACTAACCTACAGCTCAGCTATTCTTACAGTCTGTTCCTATGACAATGTACATACTGTTCTAAACACATTTTATTTCCCTGCTTAGCAAGGACACAGCGTCTTCCGGTACTGATGTACACTACATGAACTATTCTTGTTCTTGGTGCAGTTATTTGTACTTAGCTCATGACAACACCATTACTAGGCAACTGACAAAAAAAATAGATGTTAGCAATTTTCACCTCAGGGCCCAGGAACCTTTTGAGATACTTCTCCGTTCATATACAGATAGATAATGGGAAGTTAAATATTCAGATGGCTTGGACTACATGTGTGGACTTACTGGGTGTCACTGCCTGGTCATACACAAACCTTCAGACTGTATCCTTTCATACCAAAGCTCTTTTTTGGCAGAGTAAATCAGAAAATATCAAATACAGGTACATACATTGCATTTTTTTTTTTTTTTTACCTTTCCTCTCATTTTTGCTGTATACTTGTGAAATACTGTATAGTTTTACATCTGAGTGTGAGTGACATTTCTTCATATTATTTTTTCATACTATAGTTTTAACAGAATAGAAGTAGACTCCAATTGACCCTTCCTAAGTCCCGCCCCTTTTTGGAACCTCAGTCAACTTTCTCCTTCCTGTAGATTTGCTATATGACTGGTAGCTGGGGAGGTGCCAGTTTCACCTCCTGTGCACTGCCGGGTCGCCCTTGAGCAAGGCACCTAACCCTTAACTGCTCCTGGGGCGCTGCTAACGTGGCAACTCACATAAAAAAAGAGTGAAAAAATGTTTTCTCCAATTGGGGATTAATAAGGTACATCTTCATATGCTAGTCTCGTTTATGTCAAGACACAACAAAATGTTAGGATGGTTAAAAGATATAAGCAAAGTACATAAGTCACATATTAAGATAGCTAATGTTCTGCTAGCTATCCTAACTATTATAACTATTATTGGCTAGCTAACAACTGATTTAGATTAACTAGCTAGTTAGCAAGGTATATGACTATATATTGCTTATTTTCAAATCTTTTAACCATCTTCAAAATGTGGTTGTCCTCTCAACATAGAGAGCCTAGCTTAAAGCTAGCTAAGAACAGGGAAGGAGAAAGTTGGCCTAGGTTTGCTCAATTGTTATTGGAGCACAGAGCAAAAAGGGGTGGGACATAGGAAGGGTCAACTGGATGTGATTAAACAGCTTTTCTTCAGAAGGCATACTAATTGGACAAACGATTTCAGATTTTAGGGCAAATTAAATGATGATTCCTACATACAATAGTGACACGTATGCTGGGAGCACAGACATGGCGAACATAAAAACAAATACATACTCTCTTCAGGCAGGGCATTCTCCCGCTGGTCAAGCTCCATCTGTCGACACCAGCCCTCCAAGCGGTCGGTCTCCGCCTGCAGCAGCTTCAGGAACCAGCGTCCGTCTCTCTGACACACCGACCGCTGCACCACCTGCAATTCAGATATTTAGGCTTTCACAACATGTAGAGACATACCCGCAGAGTAAATTTGTATATACACCACAATGAAAAACACCCCTCCCCTGGTAGAAACATGGCAGTTTAACATGGTAGACTCATCTCCCTCTGTAGATAAAAACAGCTCATTCTAAGGTAATTAAAACATAATATTCCAATATTCAAGTGATTATACACTAATGAAACACAACTATGAATACTATATTCCATTTTTGACAATAGATCCTTCTAAATATTACACACTGGAGGGGGAAAAAAACAATTTAAAGTTTGCTTTTTTGAAATTTATTTGACAAGAAATTTTTTTTAAATGCAGGCTATAAAGTCTTAAATTTTAGGATATGTTTTTCCACTGTTCAAGGCCTCCATTGGTTCCTTTATGAAGGTATGGAAATCATGAGTCATGAAACTTGCCCGAATTCTATAATGAGTGATTCAATTCAATTCAATTCAATTTTATTTGTATAGTGCCAATTCATAACAGAAGTTATCTCAGGACACTTTTCAAATGGAGCAGGTCTAGACCGAACTCCATTTATAGGAACAGTACTACCATGAGCAAGCACTTGGCGACGGGGGCAAGGAAAAACTGCCTGTTAAAAGGCAGAAACCTAGGACAGATGAGGAGAAGTGCAAGTTATGATAATTCTGTTCTCTACAAGCAACACTTTGCACATTACACATTAATTTATTTTATTTCTAATATAAAAATATTCATCAGTGCAGTGCTGATAACAGCTTAGTATTATATAAGCATGAAAAAAGTAGTAATTGAATGGAATTAATTAGTGAGTGAGAACAGTATTTCAGACATGATGACTGTATTTTGTCCCTGGACCTGTTCTCACTAAATATGCGCCCACACACCTCTAGAATAGCAGAGCTGTTGAAGTTGACATCAAGTGGGTCATCTGTTACACTGTCTATCCAGGGGTCTGGAGGGGGGAGAATGGATGGGTCAAAGCCCACATCTTCATAGTCATCAGAGGCACAGGCGTGATAGTGGTTCCCTGAGCCCTGGATGCTGACGGTGGAGGTGGCGGCATCGCGAGAGTATTGTCGAGAGATGGCACCAGATGACAGGACTTCCATGTCAGTGTCCGGGGAGTCTAGGGGGGTGTCCAGCAGGTCCGGCATGTCCAGATCTGCCTGGATGGAATAATGAATAAATCTTAATAACTGGCTGAATAAGCAAATCGTTGTTTGAATGGTGCAGGTCTGTTAAGCATACAGCATGGTATGGGCACTAGAGGTGTATGGTAGGTGTAAGGTATGACTTTATACTTGACAATTACGTGACCTCTCAAGGATTGACAGCCAAGAATAGTGGTGTTACTTTTGACCCTGCCCTCTCCTTCAATCTGCATGCTAGAGAACCCACCAAGAATGCTTTTCTCCACCTACCGAATATTGCTTTTATTTATTTTCTGTCCATATCGAAAGACAACAATCCACACTTTTGGTTCTTTCAAATTAGACAAACTAGGCCTAACTGTACTTACTGGGGAAAAAAATATGTGTGTCACATTCGGGCGTTCATTTCGGATTGAGTCCAACTTTTGGCCCCCTACTGACCACAGTATCATTTACACAGTCTGAAAGCTTTATAAGGAAAATGTGTCCATCACTGGGGTTAAATGGGGAGTAAAATGCTGTTTCAAGGGATTTCACAAGAATGATCACAATGAGGGAAACATGTAATGTCTGCTCAGAAAGAAAAGGTCAAGTATTGTATGTATCTACTACCAGGGACTTCCCTCATTCTTCAAACACTAAATGATATGAAAGGACCCATTCAGTGACTCAAAATAAGACACAAAAAATGCAGCATTCATGAAACTACATATTGCACAATTATCTAAACTGTAATTTATCAATACAAAATGTTACCAAATGTGTGATTGGTTACTGGTTCTGGATTTAGATCAAAAGTAAATGCAGCAGTTTACAAGGAAAAGGCATTCTAAAATGCTGGATCTCCCAATGTTAATAAATATTTAAAGACAGATATGGAGCCACACCAAAAACAAACCGCCTGTTCCTTGGCTACTGACCTAATTTCCACTGAATTTCATTAGACATCTCTTTTAAGATATTTTGTAAATTACAGTAGACCAACAGGAAAGGAACACAGGCACTTTGGAGGAGGTAATGATTTGAGCTGAGAAACGTAATAATAAAGCAGCAGTAGTGGAAGCTTACCTGTACAGCTGCTGTCACACTGTTGGAGCGCTGGAACCGACGATACCTGACCACAGGAGGTAGACAAACAGTAAATACTAAACATCAAGATTTTTCCATTCCTACTTCCAGGCAACAAATTTTAAGATTCAAGACGTAAGGCTTTATTTATTACATACTCATATTTCAGTGGTTATGATAATAATACGATAATCCTGCCTCCTTACAGTCTCTGAGTGGAGTCCTTGAAAGGATGCCACCTGGAGATGGTTATAATGGAGAAACTTGGAGGTGGGTATCAGGGAAAATGATCTGATTTGAACCAGAGTGATGCTCCCTCTGGGTTGGGAGTGAGTTGTAGCCCCAAGTGTCACAGGGTCTTGTTCATGAGTGAGGGTAAAATGAAACATGAGATCGACAGGCAGATTGGTGCAGCGTCAGCAGTAATGCTCGAGTTGTATTGGACCATTAAGGTGAAAAGAGAGATAAGCCTGAGGGCGAAGCTCTCGATTTACTGCTGCTCCTTTGCATCAAAAGCAGCCAGATGTGGTGGTTAAAAATGATTGACAATTTCAATCAATTAATTAAGTTTAGATAGATCAAACACTCCTTTCTTCAGAATTGTACAAGCAATGCTTAAAACTTCCGACAGAGTTTGAACTTCTCTCTTCTCAACAGCTTGAATGCCAGTTACTCAGGAGTATGAGTATATACTAGGAACTCAGTGGAACTCAGGGCTAGAAACATTTTGATTAATCAACATTGTTTTAGAGCAGAACCCAGCCTGGGGATTCTTACAGCAACTGGGGAAATCACCTGGGACCAGAAATGTGTCAATGACGAATTAAGAGCCTCTTATTCAAAGTTATATCTCTGACAATAGTCCAAATGGCAATGTTATGAAAAACATATTTGATAGTCTGGAAATCCCTTCCCTTATCGATATCTGCGAGCTGACCTTGAGACACTAATGGATTCTCCTCAGATTTCTTTCTAAAATAAAAGAATTTTCTAACCAATTGGCCTTATTTTTTTAGTATTTGTCTTTGCTGAATTCTTTGAACCTGGCTCTTTCCTCTCTTCATTTAACCACACATGCATCTCTCTCTAAATTAAAAATCCCTTGGACTGCACCTCTTAAAGGCCAATTTCCTTATTAAATACGAATGTTACAATCCTTGCAAAGGTTATGCCACATAAATTAGACTGTCCTGCCAAAAATCATCACCCCTCATCAAACTGAGTTCATAAAAAACATGACTGTAGAAAAGGTTGAACAAACAGAGGCCTAAAGAAAACTACATTCTACAAGTCAGAGAAACTGGTCCTCAGCCACAGTTATTAGTGTATAGCAGAGGATAACCTTGGCAGATGAATGTGTGGGTGTTTGTTTGTAACCAGAGAGAGAAATAATTACACGACAGCCGGAAGTGACTCAGCTAGGCTTCCAAATCTGCTTAAATCAAAGTCTGAAGAAAAATACACCACATACAACTCCAATAACTGAATATGTCATCCAATCTGATTACCATACAAAAATGTGACTAACCTTACTTACTTAGTACTAAACTTAAATATAAGCCAGTGATCTAATCATTTTAAGAACATATGTACCTTCGCAACCACAATTTTGTACGTTGTTTTACTTTTTTGGTTATGAAACAAATCTATTCAGGATTCTTGGAACCTTGGTGCCATAGTGAACCAGCCTATAATTCCACCAGTTTTGAGCAGAAACATTGTAATCAGGGACGATTTACTCTTTATGCGGGAGAACCACATAAAGAATGTGTGAATGTTCAGCAAAATAGTTATCATAGTAGAGTATATGTTTGGAGTGGAACTTTCTTAATCTCGTCTTCATTCTCAACTGACACTAGCAGTTTATCATGGTTCTTGTAGTCCCCATATCCCCGTTGATTCAGCAGCCCTGACACAGAGTTCCATTTTTGAGGATTAACACATCTACACCATAGCTTACCATGGAGCCCAAGCATGGAGTGAAGTGAATTCATGCATCCATCTATGCCACATATGTACCTATTTCTATTAATCATTCAGATGCTAAATGCATGGATTGGTCAGGAAAACATCTCAAACAGGTCACTAATGTAGTGCATACATATTGACATCATACACATTCACCATGTTAATTTACGGGCAATTCAGAGTCTTTGCACTGGGGGAAACAAACACAAATATAAGGAAAACATGCAGCGGAACATGAGGGCTGACATTCAAACTGAAGATCTACCTGCTGTTACGATGGTGCTACCCATTAGTTATTTCACAGAAATAGAAAAAGGACAAAATAGGTTGGATAAAGATGGAAAAGTGGATTTTGGCTAATATTTGTTGTTTGTTTGCACCTGTTATTTTGGATAACTGTTTGGCACCAAGGAACTGATTTAACTAACCAAAAAGCTTAGTGATTTTGTTCCTTACCACTCACACTGGAAACCCAACCCTTTAATTGGCCAGAATTAACAGGGGGAATGATTACACTGTGCAAAAACTGGTACCTGACTCCTGTTTTAGGACAGACTATAATCACAGATAAAGGGGTTTTCCTTGCATGCTCTGAAGCCAAATATCCAGCCTTGCTTCTATGTACTGTGGATGTTAAATTATCAAAGTATCTACAGAGTAAAAGGTCAACAAGGGGGTCACGTGACGCAAATGTCGGAGTAACAACTCGCCACCTTGGCTCCCGCAGCTCGATACAGTTTTTTCGATGTAACTTTAGACATAGACATATAAAAAACACGGGGCGAAAGCGGGACACCTTGAACGGATCTAAGAATGCCAAACACCCAGAGGAAGATCACCCAAATGGCTAAATCCGCCAAATTCGTAGATGTTCAGTCGCCCCAAACGGGGTCATCCCTATGTTCCCCGGGTCCTATGTTCCCCGCATAGAACCCGGGGAACATAGACTCCTGCCCCAAACTAGCCAAGCTAGCATGGCGGACCACGCACCGCCGCCACTTATGGGTTAAGTGGAGACTGATAGCCTGGTAATAAGAATCACTACCGAGTTGCTCAAAGGCGTTGAAGCCTCCTTCGACAAGAACATTGACCCTGTCCTCATGAGGCTAGAGGCTTGCTCGTCTAAACTCGCTGCATTTGATACTCGGTTTACCGAGGCTGAGCAACGCATCTCCGACTCTGAAGATGCCATGGCGAACCACACTGCTAAGCTAGCCGAAGTCGGGAAGAAGCTGGAGACAGCACTAGATAAAATTGATGTGCTAGAAAACAGGGGACGACGGTGTAACATTCGCATCATCGGACTACCCAAAGGCAGCGAGGGCAGCAACCCTGTCTCCTTTTTTAAAACTTGGCTGCCGGAGCTGCTGCAAGTTAGCTTCAAAGGCGGAGCCATTAAACTGGACCGCTGCCACCGGGCTCTCACACGCCGTCTGCCACCCGGACGGCGGCCCTGCGCTGTCATCATTAAGGTCCACAACTTCCAAGATAAAGTCCAGATCATGCAGGCAGCCAGGAAGGCGCAGGCTCTATCGTTGGCGGAGCTTCAATCATGATGTTGAGGATTTCTCTGCAGCTGTTGTAAAGAAGTGGCAGGATTTCTACTCGGTTAAACAACAGCTTAAGGAGAGAGGTATCGTCTTGGCCATACTGTATCCAGCCGTACTTAGGATCAGATACGACGGGTAGGAGAAATTCTTCAAACAACCTAAGGCTGTTGAGGCTTTTCTGGGGGGAATCGTGCGGCCCCCGGGGACCCCCACCCGGGTCCCGGAGGACTAAGGATATCTTCTCATGTTTTGTCTAAAGTGACAATGTGAGACCTGGACTGTAATTTCCGTATCTGGTGAGCATAGGTTTTCTGTTGCTGGATCGCTGCCCATGTGTTGTTGGACGGGGTATAATTTGCTACACACTTTGGAGGAGATGTTGGGGCTCTAAGCTCTGCTCAGTGTCGTAAAGTGTGTCTAGGTTTCCCGCTGACCCAAAGGATATATTGTTATTTTCTTTTTCAAACTTTCTGAGTTTAAAATCTATTACTGTAGTTTGCGTAAATCTATGTCATTTTTATGAACAAGGCCGTACCTGGAAAAAAAAAAAAATAGAAGCTATTAGCTGGCCTAGCACCTTCCCCTTGGCTTGAGAGAGTAGCTTACACCCATTATGGGTATATTAGGCCAATGTCTGACCCCTATGTGTACCTGTTATTTCTGTTTGATGTCTGTTGTATATAGTTATTGTTTTGAAGTGAGCAAAGCATTGTTTTTTATGTGTATATTATATGTCCTTTGTTAGTTTCTGGGAGCCCAGGATGCCATCTATATTCCTGATCATTGTTTGCCAAGATACTTTTTTAATTATACAATGGCGAGTGAATAAAGCCACCTTAAAGATCTGCAGCTGGAATGTGAGAGGGATACACAACCCTATTAATTAAAAATTTTAATTTCCTAAAAAAGGAGAATGTTCACATAGCAATGTTGCAAGAAACTCACCTGTCTATCAATGAACATTCGAAGTTAAAGCGTGATTGGGTAGGACAGGTGGTTAGCTCTTCATTTACGAGTAAAAGCAGGGGGGTCGCTATTTTGATCAGCAAACACCTGCCCCTGTCTGACATTGTAACAAAGTCTGGTAGATATGTGATGCTAAGGGGCTGCCTCCACGGCCAGGCTGTGTCATTGATGAATATATACTTTCCCCCAGTACAGTCCACTGACTTCATCTCACAGGTCTTTTCTAAATTTTCTGACTGGATTGGTCACATCACTGTAATAGCTGGGAATTTTTTTTTTTTTTAAGTATATTTTTTGGGCTTTTATTGCCTTTATTATTATTATTATTATTATAGTAACAGCTGAAGATAGACAGGAAAGGGGGGCAGAGAGAGGCCGCAAAGGCCGGATTCGAACCCTGGGCCGCTGCAGCAAGGACTCAGCCTTGGTACATGGGTCGCCAGCTCTACCCACTGAGCTATCCGGGCGCCCATAGCTGGGGACTTTAACTGTTATTTTTCGTCTGCCGTGGATAGGCTTCCACCAGTGCACTGTCCATTGTCTAAGAGAGCCAAAGCTATTTCAGACACATGCAGCGAGCTTGGCCTTGTCGATGCTTGGCGTGTGTTGCACCCTATAGATAAAGAATTCACATATTACTCAACTGTACATTAAACTAGCAGTAGAATCAATTTTTTTTTTACTCCTAAAACTTCACCAAATAATGTAAAGTTCTGTAGTATCGGGGACATTATTATATCGGACCATGCTCCTTCTTTTTATATAGGTTTTCAGAGCAGACCTTGGAGATACAGACCTTTCTTAAATCATGACCCTAATTTTGAAATTTTTTTAAGAGAACAACTTAATTTCTTCTTTAAAGAAAATAAGACCCCTGATGTGTCCCTCTGTCTGTTATGGGATACTACAAAGGCTTACATCTGTGGACTTGTTATTTCATATACAGCTAGACAAAAGAATACCAGTCGAAAAGAACAGAGAAAATTGGAGCTGGATCTTCATGAACTTCTGACTGAATATAACTCCTCCCCGTCTGAAGAGCTGAGAAATGATATTCAAGAGCTGTATTCAGTTACTTCCTAATAAAAAAGCACCAGGCCCCGATGGTTTCTGTGCAGAATTTTATAAAAAGTTTAATGCCATTTTAGGGGATCCATTGTTTGAAATCTTTCAATTCTCATTCGAGGCAGGAGCCCTCCCTCCTTCTCTAATGGAGGCAAATATCTCCTTAGTACCAAAAAAGGGTAAAGCACCGGAAGAATGTTCTTCATATAGACCCATATCAGTTTTGAACTTAGATATGAAGCTGTTAGCAAAGGTCCTAGCCCTGCGTTTGGAGAAAATCCCCCCAATATCATCACTAATGATCAGACTGGGTTCATTCGGGAGAGGTATTCTTCTCATAATGTAAGAAGACTGATCAATATTATTCAGCACTCCTCAAATAGCTCTGAGGCTTTGGTTATTTCTCTTGACACAGAGAAGGCATTTGACAGGCTGGAATGGCCTTACCTCTTCTCCACACTTCATAAATTTGGTCTGGGGGATGATTTTGTAAAATGGATCCAGATCTTATATACCTCACCTCTATCTGCTGTAATTACTAATGGGCTCAGGTCTAGTAATTTTAGTATTGAACGAGGCACCAGGCAGAAAACAGCGAGATTTTTAAACGCTGGGTTTTATTGCTGCGCCAGAAACTGAAAGTGAAACTTATGTCCATTTCCTCCAGCCACTTTCCCTCCATGCTTTTTTTTCGACTCAACAGTCAAGAAAGTAAAAAATTGTGTCAACATCAGTACTACCAGGATTTTCCTTTATTAGGCCTAATATATGGCCCCCCTCGTAAAGCCTTGGCTACCCTCTGGCCACCCCTTGTATAAAAGTCTAGTTCCGCCACTGCTGGAGGGGGGCAGGGGAATAGCGTCACTCGTCATGTTGAAGATGCCTACATACAGCATCCCAGATGCAGAGTTCGCTTTCCAATACATACTCCCTGAAACTCTTGTTTATTTATTTATTTTTTGCTTGTTTGTTAGTCTGTTTATCTGTTTGTTATTTAATTTTAACGTTGGTCTCATTACTTATTGTTTTTAGCTGCCTGTCTTCACCTTGTGTTGTTTCGATGCTGTACCTGTCCGTTTCTGTTGTTTTGGTCTTTTTGTGCTTTGCAAAAAAAAAAAAAAAACTTTTGAAAAAAAAAAAGGTCAACAAAAAAGAAAAAGAAAAGATAACTGTGCCTCACCCTCTGTCATCCTCCACTTGCACCCCTACAGAGGTGAACTTAGATGGGTCCTCTGGATCCGGAATCTCCTCTGGTCCATCCACCTATAGGAGACAGACAGGATAAATACCTAATAATCATGACTAATAATAAATAAATAATAGCAGAATAAAAGCATGGTAGCTATTTTTTTTATTACTTTTTTGAGTAAAGAGGCATACCAATTACAACTAAATATCCAAAACTAAAGGTATTGTCATAAGGAGGACAGCACTGATTAATTTAAGGTTATACATATATATGAGATTGACAGCATGAATATAGCAGCAAAGAACTATTAGGTGAGAAATAGTGATATTACGGCTATTTCTGGTTAAACAGAAGGTCTATCTCTGTAGGGCTCCTCTCCATAATGCTGTCAGACACAATCTGAGCCTGTCAGTGGCAAAACAACAACTTTTAGTGGACGTTCTTGCATTTGTCTCTTAAGATTAGCTAACAGTACATGGCAGCCATTGTAGCCCGCTTCACTGCTATTTACTTATAATAAAGCCCACGCCTTACTATGTCAGAGCTTTCTAAAAGTATTCTTGATTTGGGGAGGTAATAGCGACTTTTAAGTAGAAATGAATTAAACATAGATACACAGGCTCTACATAATAATTAAGTAACTGAAGTCCATCTCTTCCTCTGGCCTCCACCTCCACTGCTGTCTCATAAATACCTGGATGCCTATGGAGAGACATTTGCCCTTCCTGAGTGCTTCTTTCCTGTATTCATCACGGTGGTCTTCAACAACTGCCCTCCTGGACAGGGCTGAGGGGGTGGGGGTGCTGACTGTCATGGTGCTGTTACTGACGTGCTGACTGGCTGGTCCATGGACCTACACAGGAATAATGAATAGAGACAAAGTATTTTGTGAATACAATATTCAGAAAAGCAATGAAAATTAAAGCTGGAAGCAGCGATGAATGGGCCCTCTCAATCCATGCAACTCAGGGTGTGCTGCAGCCGTGTCATGTGCTGGCGTAACACGTGCGGACCACAAAATGAAAATTTCACGTACATCAGATAAAAATTGCCACACAGCGCTTACTTCCTGTTGCCAGTAGGTGACGCTATCACTATATCTGAATATTGTCATGTAGACGTGTTCAGGGAGGGACTCTTATCAAACGTGAAGTTTCATTAAGATTGGACCATGTACACTGAAGTTATGAGGACGTGTTCAGGGTGGGACTGTTACAAAATATGTGAAGTTTAGTGGAGATTGGACATTGTACACTGAAGTAAACTAAGTAACTGTTTTATGACGATGGGCACGCCATTCGATGTACATTTACAAATAGCACAACCTATAAAGATAAGAAAAGATTGGAAAACTGTACAGAAGACAGGAGTGCATTAATGTAATGCATATATACAGGGTGGGTATGAGAGTCAGTGACAGTGGGGGGTCCGGGCCTTGTTAATGAGGCCAGCTGCAGACTGGAAGAAACTGTTTTTGTGGCGAGAAGTTTTGGTCCTGATGGACCGTAGCCTCCTGCCATAGGGGAGAAGTTGAAAGAGTTTGTGGCCAGGGTGGGAGGGATCATCCACAATCTTGCCTGCACGCCTCAGGGTCCTAAAGACGTACAGGTCCTGGAGGGATGGCAGATTGCAGCCGATCACCTTCTCAGCAGATCGAATGATACGCTGCAGTCTGCCCTTGTCCTTGGCAGTGGTAGCAGCGTACCAGATGGTGATGGAAGAGGTGAGGATGGACTCAATGATGGCGGTGTAGAAGTGCACCATCATCGTCTTTGGCAGGTTGAACTTCCCCAGCTGCTGCAGGAAGTACATCCTCTGCTGGGCTTTCTTGGTGAGGGAGCTGATGTTCAGCTCCCACTTGAGGTCCTGGGTGATGATGGTACCCAGGAAGCGGAAGGACTCCACAGAGTCAACTGGGGAGTCACACAGGATGACGGGGGCGGGTGGGGCTGGGTTCTTTCTAAAGTCCACAACCATCTCCACTGTTTTTAGAGCGTTTGGCTCCAGGTTGTTCTGACTGCACCAGGTCACCAGATAGTCTGGATGGATCTCCCATCTGTAGGCGGACTCATCTCCACCAGAGATGAGCCCAATGAGGGAGGTGTCATCCGCGAAAATCAGTAGTCTGACGGACTGGTGGCTAGAGGTGCAGCTGTTGGTGTACAGGGAGAAGAGTGGAGTTTCCTGTTTCCTGTCAGACAGGAAGTCTGTGATCCACCTGCAGGTGGAGTCAGGCACAGTGAGCTGGGAGAGTTTGTCCTGTAGCAGAGCTGGGTTGATGGTGTTAAACGCAGAGCTCCACAAACAGGACTACATCACTTACTAACCAGTTATTTAGGATTTGTCAGTGGTTTGTAATATCATTTAGAAATTGTATGTAAAAACTATTTAGATATACATTTCTGCATGCACTTGCACATACATGTATTAATGATTAGTGACTGTGTTAGCAGATGTTCCATAAAAAAACTCACAAATTCCATTTCCAATGGATGTCCTATAAACAGTTATTAATGCAGGAATTCATGAATTGAGGCAGTTACAAAGCACTTACTACTCGTTAATTAAATATTTTGCACGAGCTCATCTAAAGTGAGCACTATCTATAGCTTATAAAGCATTTACAAATGAGATATAAAGGCTGACAATGTATATAGGCCTAGACTATCGGGGGATTTCCCATGGTGCACTGAGCTCCTCCCTTCCTCTCTCTTTCTGCACTCATTCATGTTCCATTAATGCATGTTACTAACTTCACTTCTTCCCCAGAGTTCTTGTGCTTTCTCGTCTCGCAGGTTCTTGTCGATCCTGGTGGAGCCTCCTGCCATGGTCCTGCTACATTGCCATTGCCAATACTGTTGTTGCTGTGCACCTGTCTGTTTGTCTCTCGCTCTCTCTCTCTCTGCCTCTCTCTCTCTCACCCCAACTGGTCGAGACAGACGACCACCCACCTAGAGCCGGAGGATCTGTCCTAGGTTTCTGCCTTTTAACAGGCAGTTTTTCCTTGCCCTTGTCGCCAAGGTCTTGCTCATGGTGGTACTGTTGGGTCTCTGTAAATAATGTTATAAAGAGTTCGGTCTAGACCTGCTCTATTTGAAAAGTGTCCTGAGATAACTTCTGTTATGAATTGGCGCTATACAAATAAAACTGAATTGAATTGTATTGAAGGCTTAAGAGAAGAGAAGTGATACTTTAAGCATCCAGGCTTAAAGAAATTAGGAATTGAATTGCATGCCTCGAGACTCACAAAATGTTCAGTTATCTTAACAGACGAAGGAGAGACACAACACAAAGGGATATAGAACATATTGTATTGATATTTACTGCAACTTCCCAACATATAATATATATAAAGACGAACAAGGGTGGTTTATGAAGACATGCTATTGTTCTGATCTTATCTGTTTGGGACGTGTACGTTGAGCTTGCAGTCCCGCTCTCAGCGCGTCATCAACGTGATGACGGTGGGAGGCGGCAACATTTTACGTTCATATTTACGTTAACTCTCAGAAGTTTCTGACAGTGCAGCCAAGAGAAGCACCGAGAAGTCAGGCGGACACGGGCCAATAAGAATGGCGGTGTGGGGATGGATACATTGGAGTCGGCGGCCGTCAGCGGCACTAGTGGTGAGTATGTGTCTTTGTTTGGTAGCACACATTATGGTTGAAAGCTAACGTTAGCTTGTCAGCAGCTGCAGGTGTTTGCCCTCGCTCCCCGACTAACGTTACTACCGACCTGCCCCCGGTGGCTAAGCCGACCTTCCGCTGCTAGGCACTCACCTCGCCCGGCTAGACGAGATTAGACTGACTTAACCGCGGCGACAACATTACAAGTTAAAAAAAAACTTTTAGGAAAAAATTCAAAGTGATAATGATAAATGCAGGCAGGTCGGCTTAGCTACCGCGGGTCAGAAAAATGCGTTATAAATGATGAATTCAGTATTTATTAATGCTTAACTAATGCTTAATAGTGTGTACTCATTATAAAGTGTTACCCTTGCTCCTTCTGCAACCATAACTGTCTGAGTTTGGCTGTGAACCAGGGTTTGTCGTTGTTAAAGGCATACTATGCAGTTTTCCGGTTTTGTCAAACAGCTACCCCTAGAGTCGCTGCGGAGTACTTGTATTTAACGTTAACTGTCGTAAATACCACTCACCAGAGCCGTCTCTATATACGGCTCTGTGTCTCTGCACTCACAGCCTGATCCCCTCCCCCCTGTATACCGGTACATGTTCAGTAGGATGGAAGCGTCAGACATCGAACAGGCAAAGATAGACTCCGAAGATGTCTACTGACCAGGTAACGTCTTCCATTGAGGCTGCTTCTTATGTCGCTGATGTATGACATCGCGCCGTAAAGCAATTTGTGATTCTCGCGAGATTAGGCGGGGCGCCACCTTTCAGACTTGCATTGCTGGTTCTGCCAGCGGCGTCCCTCCCCAGCGTTGCTATCAGTATGATACACTATACTACGAGTTTGTTTACCATCGAAATGACTTCGAAGCTGTTATATTAAGGTACAAATCTTGCATAGTATGCCTTTAAAACTCACCCTGGTGCGTGATGGTATACAGCAGTCCTCACAGAAGCTGATGTATGATGTCACAGCCTCTGTGTACTCATCCAGACTTTCTGTAGCAGTCCTGAAAACATCCCAGTCCGTAGAGTCCAAACACGCCTGGAGATCCTCCGCAGCTTCACTGGACCACTGCTTTAATGTCCTCACAACAGGTTTACAGAGTTTTAATTTCTGCCTGTATGAAGGAATCAGGTGGACCATGATGTTGTCAGAGAGGCCCAGTGCGGCGCGAAGGACAGCGTCATAAGCTCTGCTGACTGTAGTGTAACAGTGATCCAGTATGTTCTTCTCTCTGGTCGGGCATTTTATAAACTGTTCGTATTTAGGAAGATCGTGACTGAGGTTTCCTTTTTTAAAGTCACCAAGGACAAAAACTAAGGAGTCCGCGTTAGTCCGCTCCACACACAATATCTGGTTAGTGAGCATGCGCTGTGCATCCTGCATGTTGGCCTGCGGTGGAATGCAAACACCGACCAGAATGAATGAAACGAACTCACGGGGGGAGTAAAAAGGTTTGCAGTTTATGATCAAATATTCCAGAGTAGAAGAGCAGTGCTGTTGGATCACTGTCACATCATTGCACCAGCTACTGTTGGTATAAAAACAGATACCTCCACCCTTCGATTTGCTGGAGAGTTCAGTGTCACGATCCGCTCTGAGGAGTTGGAATCTTGCCAGCTGCAGCATCCGGTATCGATCCACCCAGCCACGTCTCCGTGAAGCATAAAACAGAGGATGAAGAAAAGTCACTGTTTTTCCCCAGAAGTAGCTGAAGTTCATCCATTTTGTTGCACAGTGAACGCACGTTGGAGAGGAATATTCCAGGTACCGGAGTTCAATGTCCGCGCTGGCGGAGACGCACAAGCGCACCGGCACGTTTCCCTCTCCTCCTGCGTTTCACTGCGTGAGCAAGAGTGAGTGCACCTTTGACCACAATGTCCAATAATTCCACGGAAGAAAGAAGAAAAGTGGGAAAGAGATCAGCTGGAGTTATTCCCCTGATGTTCATGAGCTCTTCTCTAATGAAAGAGCTTGGGGTATCACAGCCGAAAACTGAATTAACACACAAAATAAGAAAAAACAAAGCACACCAACACGCCGAGGCAACCGTCCATGGCGCCATCTTAGGTCTATAGTATGTATAGTATATTCATTGTAGCTTAAAGACTGAGAGCCTATGAAAGACAGTGCGGAGTGGAAGAGAGAAGGATAATGGCCAGCCAAATTTCAGAGGTGGCCAGTTGCACTCTAGGCCCCCTCTCTGGACACACTCCTGCTTGGGAGTGAGAATGGGCTGCTATTACAAAGATACAACCCGTTTACTGCACAAAGCAAATATGGATTTGTACATTAACAACACTTGATAAATAAATAAATAATACAACAGCACTAACCTGTGCATTAGCAGCCTCTATGGCGGCTGTCAAGGCCTTCATGCTGTCAATGCTTTCTGTTGAGTTACTAAGCCCTGATTGGATGGTCATGTCGCCTCTGGGTCCCTCCTCTTCCATGTATGCATCCTGGTTAGAACATGGAAGTCAGTTTAGTAACATGGAACATTGCTTTCAAGACAAGGACATTCATATCACATATTATCCTTTTAATTTTACATGAAAAAAAAAACAAAAAAACAGCAGACCCATGACTAATGCAGGCCCCCTTGCCCAGCAGGAGCTGATAATATTGATGTGCTGAGATGCATCATAATTGGGGTATAGAACACATTGACAAGACATCAGGAAACCTCAACAATAGCTCATTTTGTGTGTAAATGTTATCTATTTATTCATTCATTCATCAATCCATTTACACACGTGGACAAAATTGTTGGTACCCTTCCGTTAAAGACAAAAAAACCACAATTGTTACTGAAATAACTTGAAACTGACGAAAGCAATAATAAAGTAAAGCTGCTAGCAGTGATGACCCGCAACAAAGGGCCGCGTCCGTCCATCGTAACTGCAGATGCCATAAATCAGATCAAAATCGCCACGCAACGCTTACTTCCTGTTGCCAGTAGGTGGCGCTCTCACTATTACTGAATATTATCACATAGACATGTTCAGGGCAGGACTCTTATCAGACAAGTGAAGTTTTATTGAGCTCGGATCATGTACACAGAAGTTATGACAAATCCCTCTTTCATGGCGAGTAGTTGAAATTCCACGCCACGCCACGGACACGTTGTTTGACGGAATGTCGTAAATAGCACAACTTTTAATCGTGAATGTCTTTAGATGGCTGTGTCCAAATCTGAAGTCAATCCGATAAATTCCCTAGGAGGAGGAGTTCAAATACAACGTGTGCAAACGTTGTTGTGTTGTGGTTCAACAGAATCATTTTAAAAAACAAACTAATGAAACAGACCTGGACAAAAATGATGGTACCCCCAGAAAAGATTGAAAATTATTTGACCATAGGGACATGTTAAACTAAGGTGTGTCCTGTAATTAGCATCACAGGTGTCTTCAAACTTGCAATCAGTCAGTCTGCCTATTTCAAGGGTGAAACATAGTCACTGTGCTGATTGGTATCATGATGTGTATCACACTGAACATGGACCACAGAAAGCTAAGGAGAGAGTTGTCTCAGGAGATTAGAAAGAAAATTATGGACAAGCATGTTAAAGGTAAAGGCTCCAAGACCATCTCCAAGCAGCTTGATGTTCCTGTGACTATAGTTGCACATATTATTCAGAAGTTTAAGGTCCACGGGACTGTAGCCAACCTCCCTGGACATGGCCGCAAGAGGAAAATTGATGACAAATTGAAGAGATGGATAATACGAATAGTAACCGAAGAACCCAGAACAATTTCCAAAGAGATTAGAGGTGAACTCCAAGGTCAAGGTACATCAGTGTCAGAGCCCACTATCCATCGCTGTTTGAGCCAAAGTGGACTGAATGGAAGACGACCGAGGAGAACACCACTGATGGAAGCAAATCATAAATTAAAGCTGCAAGCAGCATTGGGCGGGACCTCGCACTCAAAGTAACTCAGGGCATGCTGCGGTCGCATCACGTGCCGTCATAACACATGCAGACCAAAACATGAAAATTTCACGTAAATCAGTTCAAAGTTGTCATGCAGCGCTTACTACCTTTTGCCAGTAGGTGGCGCTATTCCCATATCTGAATATTGTCATGTAGACGCGTTCAGGTCGTGACTCTTATTAAATGTGAAGTTTCATTGAGATTGGACCATGTACACTGAAGTTGTGAAGACGTGTTCAGGGTGGGACTGTTACAAATATGTGAAGTTTAGTGGAGATTGGTCATTGTACACTAAAGTTATGAGTACTATCTGTTGTATACGGGGAGATGCAGCTCCATTCACCAAACGCGTGGATATAAGGTTTTTGAATGTGCGACAAACGATGCGGGAGTTATTAGCCTAACGAACTTTGCTTAAAAGTAACCCGAAAGCGACGCATAGAATATCAAATTTTTTACCTGACTTTTCGTATATGTTCAGGGGGGCATAAATGCAGTCGAAGGGGCTAAAAATAATAGCCTTAACATATTAATAATATTAATCCTTAATAATAAGGATAAGAATTCTAGCAAATACAATAGGGACCTCCAGCAGTCGCTGGTTCGGTCCCCAAAAAAACGAGAGGGGAATTTGCCAAAATGCATATTGACAAGCCACAAGGCTTCTGGGAGAATATCCTTTGGACAGATGAGACAAAACTGGAGCTTTTTGGCAAGTCACATCAGCTCTATGTTCACAGACCCAAAAATGACGCATACAAAGAAAAGAACACCGTACCTACTGTGAAACATGGAGGAGGATCAGTTATGTTTTGGGGCTGCTTTGCCGCATTTGGCACAGGGTGTCTTGAATCTGTGCAGGGTACAATGAAATCTCAAGACTACCAAGGCATTCTAGAGCAAAATGTGCTGCCCAGTGTCAGAAAGCTTGGTCTCAGTCGCAAGTCATGGGTCCTCCAACAGGATAATGACCCAAAACACACAGCTAAAAACACCCAAGAAAGGCTAAGAGCAAAACATTGGACTATGATCTAAATCCTATTGAACATCTGTGGATGGAGCTGAAACATGCAGTTTGGAGAAGGCACCCTTCAAACCTGAGACAGCTGGAGCAGTTTGCTCACGAGGAGTGGGCCAAAATACCTGTGCAGAAGTCTCATTGAGAGTTACAGAAATTGCTTGATTGCAGTGATTGCCTCAAAAGGTTGTGCAAGAAAATATTAAGTTCAGGGCACCATCATTTTTGTCCAGGCCAGTTTCATTAGTTTGTTTTTTTAAATGATTCTGTTGAACCACAATTCAAAAGCAGTGTATGATTTTAATTAGTTAATTTTCAGTACATTTTAATTTATTATTACTTTTGTCAGTTTCAAGTTATTTCAGTGACCATTGTGGGTTTTTCTGTCTTTAACGGAAGGGTACTAACAATTTTGTCCACGTGTCTGTATTTGTTGGCCAAGACCTCCTGTGTCTTTCTCTGTTAGCATCTTCTTTGCTGTTGTCGGCATTTGTCACCCAGCTGCTATACGACAACAGTGTGTATGGCCACTGTGTCAATAAAGAAAATGAAACACACATGACCTGAAGCGCTTTAAAGTCTCTCCTGTAATGGAACCAACATATTATTATGCCTTCAGTTATCATGGCAGCCCACTGGCAGATGCAGACATAAAATACAATGATTTTTAAAATGTACACATTTGCTGCGCAAAATAAGAAAACTGCTGCTGATAGGATTTTTTCGCTGGTGTCTGTTTCTCTTTGTTCTTCACAAATTTGTTGAAATGATCGGGATGACAGCCCTTAAAGTAAGTTATTTTTATGAAAGTCACTTTTTGTTATTCTGCTGAAACTTTCACTATATCCTGACAGTAGTACATGAGAGAGATAATCTGTGAAGAAAGCAGGTTACTCTGGCTCCTAACGGTATTTGTGAGAATCTACCGGGCCTGAATGAAAACAAGCAATCAGAGCTGGTTCACTTCTACGGTTACAGGAACACTGATGGAACTGAGTCATCATTACTAAGTGTTAAGTGTTTTCCTGGCATTGACCGCTGCTGTGCAACCAGTCCATTGCAGTGATAAACTCAGGAAAGCTTCAATATCAGTATGAGTTGTGACGTTTTATTTGAATAATATGATGGTCAACTGGCAAGTACCAGTTAAATGAAGGGATTCTGTTATTTACATCCTGCTACCTCACACTTTATAATGAGTACACACTATTAAGCATTAGTTAAGCATGAATAAATAATGAAATCATCATTTATAACGTATGAATACACATTAGTATGTAGTTTATAAACAGTTAAAAATGTTTTATTCATCATTGATAAGCACATTAGTTATGGATTAGTAAATACTGAATTCATCATTTATAAAGCATGTTTCTGCTGTAAATACTCATTACTATGTGGTTTATAATCACAGTTATAAATGTTTTACTCTTCATTAATAAGCTCATCTATAACGTGCTAATGATTGCATTTTCATATTTTATATATGATGGATTCAGCATTTCTAAATCAAGTATTACATCACTTACTAACCAGTTATTTAGGATTTGTCAGTGGTTTGTAATATCATTTAGAAATTGTATGTAAATGATGAACAAACTATTTAGATATACATTTCTGCATGCACTTGCACATACATGTATTAATGATTAGTGACTGTGTTAGCAGATGTTCTATAAAAAAACTCACAAATTCCATTTCCAATGGATGTCCTATAAACAGTTATTAATGCAGGAATTCACAGTTACAAAGCACTTACTACTCATTAATTAAGTATTTTGCGCGAGCTTATCTAAAGTGAGCACTATCTATGGCTTATTAAGCATTTACAAATGAGATATAAAGGCTGACAATGCCTCGAGACTCAAAAAATGTTCAGTTATCTTAACAGACGAAGGAGAGACACAACACAAAGGGATATAGAACATATTGTATTGATATTTACTGCAACTTCCCAACATATAATATATATAAAGACGAACAAGGGTGGTTTATGAAGACATGCTATTGTTCTGATCTTATCTGTTTGGGACGTGGACGTTGAGCTTGCAGTCCCGCTCTCAGCGCGTCATCAACGTGATGACGGTGGGAGGCGGCAACATTTTACGTTCATATTTACGTTAACTCTCAGAAGTTTCTGACAGTGCAGCCAAGAGAAGCACCGAGAAGTCAGGCAGACACTGGCCAATAAGAATGGCGGTGTGGGGATGGATACATTGGAGTCGGCGGCCGTCAGCGGCACTAGTGGTGAGTATGTGTCTTTGTTTGCTAGCACACATTATGGTTGAAAGCTAACGTTAGCTTGTCAGCAGCTGCAGGTGTTTGCCCTCGCTCCCCGACTAACGTTACTACCGACCTGCCCCCGGTGGCTAAGCCGACCTTCCGCTGCTAGGCACTCACCTCGCCCGGCTAGACGAGATTAGACTGACTTTAACCGCGGCAACAACATTACAAGTTAAAAAAAAACTTTTAGGAGTCGTGAATTCCTGCATTAATAACTGTTTATAGGACATCCATTGGAAATGGAATTTGTGAGTTTTTTTATAGGAACATCTGCTAACACAGTCACTAATCATTAATACATGTATGTGCAAGTGCATGCAGAAATGTATATCTAAATAGTTTGTTCATCATTTACATACAATTTCTAAATGATATTACAAACCACTGACAAATCCTAAATAACTGGTTAGTAAGTGATGTAATACTTGATTTAGAAATGCTGAATCCATCATATATAAAATATGAAAATGCAATCATTAGCACGTTATAGATGAGCTTATTAATGAAGAGTGAAACATTTATAACTGTGATTATAAACCACATAGTAATGACTATTTACAGCAGAAACATGCTTTATAAATGATGAATACAGTATTTACTAATCCATAACTAATGTGCTTATCAATGATGAATAAAACATTTTTAACTGTGTTTATAAACTACATACTAATGTGTATTCATGTCAGTAATACTTAACTAATACTTAATAGTGTGTACTCATTATAAAGAGTTACCCAGCAGTATGCACAGGAGTAGGGCTCAAACCAGTTCTGAACAGTGGTCACAGAGAAGAGTCAACAAACTGACCCAGTGATGTCAGCGACACTGCAAAATCTATCCAGAGTCTGCCAACATTAGCCATAAGAGACTGACTCAGTGGTCTTTGCTATTACTGATGTTCTCAGGAAATCTATTGTCTTGTTATACTAATATAATCTGGGTAGTTTCTTTTAATTTTTTTTTGAAAAGGACTGTGTTTTTTCAAGCATCTTGGTGCAGGTGTCCCTACCTACAGAGTTGAGGTGGTGTTCTTCTTTCCTGTCCAACAACCTGAACTACACACTTTAAAGGTCTAGAGTGTATTTAGTGGTATCTAGGGGTGAAGCTGCAGCATGCAACTAACTGAATACAGTTCAGCCTTCCAATCATGTAGGAGAAACTACTGTGGCTGTGAAACTCTTAAAAGGCCCTATGTATCACCACTTTATGTAATAACACTGCATTATCTAATTAACAAAATGTTTTACATTTTCACTTACGTAATAACCTGCTGCATTTTGCATGAACACAATATGTAGTACATCTTCCTGCATTTTTCAGATTTTACTGTAAATTATTACATATTGTGCTTTTATCATGAAAAAAATGTCATTATGTAATAACCAACCAAATTGGATGCCTTCATCTGTACTGATTTTTATATTTTTAACAATTAAAGCTGCAGTAGATAATTTTTATAAAAATAACTTTTTGTCCTTTTTGCTGAAACTTTCATTTTATCCTGATAGTAGTACCTGAGACAGATAATCTGTGAAATTGTTGATTGTTGAGTCTCATTCCCAGGGTATCAAATGCAGATGCCTAGGGAGCCTGGGAATACAATCAACTATCTTTAAGCCTCCAATACAAAATGTCTTTATCTCTTTCTCTGGCTTTTATTTCTAGCAGGGTTGACTACTGTAATGGTCTTTTGACAGGGCTCCCCCCAAAAAACATCAAAAACTTCCACTTATTCAAAATGCTGTTCATAAAAAAACTGCAACTCCCAGATTTTGTAATCGCCACCACAGTATGTAATCATTCATTACAAAATGTAGGGAAGTTTATTACATACTGGGTTCAGGCTTTTTATTACAAAAAGTTATTATATAATGTATTACAAAATTACCTATCTAAAGCCAGTGTTTGGTTTGTCCATTCAGGGCTATTGTAGAAACATGTCAGACTCCGTAGAAGAGCACCCACTCCGTAGATAAGAACAGCTCATACTAAGGTAACGAAAACACAATGATTCCTATTTGCAGGTGATGATACACTAATGAAAACATACCTATGAATATTATATTCCATTTCTAACAATAGATCCTCCTAAATGTTACACACTGGACCTTTAAAGTATACCTTTACCCTTATCCATAATGTACATTATTTTACAGCTATATGCTCTGATGTTCTCCATTATAACTACATGAGGGGCAGATTGAAATAGCGCATAGTGTTTGTGCAGTACCTGAGCGGACTCTGTGCTGCTCTGGGCTGTGATGGAGATGTACGGCTTGGAGGCTGTGGAGCAGGTGGAGGTTCGGGGCGGCACTGGCGGAGGGGTTTTCTTATAGGTGGTGATACAAGATGAAACTACAAAGAACAAAAAAGAGGGAGGGAAAAAAGGAAAAAAGGAAAAAAGACATGTTAAAATCCTATGCTGTATAAGTTGAACTTCCTGACACCCGTTTTGTACTTCTACAGGTGTTGATACACATCAAGATTTAGCAGTTTAATTTTAAGACGGCAGCAATGTTAACTGCATATAAACTGCAGCGACATGCAGATATTGGACCCTTGTACACAGACTAATTGACTCTGACCAGAAAAGAAAGACAACATTTCCTTTGACCTGTTTGTTTTCCTGTCCTTTTCTATATATTTAATAAAAGAGGGAGGTAGAAAGTGCTCCTCAGAGGACACATGCCCGTAAAGCAACACAATAGTGAGCTTGATTAAAACTCTGTCTGTATTTTCCTCTGATGGTTCTTCATTTCAGTCAGGACACTATGGTCAAGTTTTAACAGTTATTACAGCAATATATGTCTGTTAGATCTTAGTGTCGCATTTGAAACCATTGACCATAATATTCTTTTACAGAGACTTGAGCATCAAATTGGCATTAAAGGAACCGCACTAAGCTGGTTTAAGTCATATTCAGATCGTTCTCAGTTTGTACATGTTAATGATGAATCTTCCATAAATACTACAGTTAGTCATGGAGATCCACAAGGTTCTATACTTGGATCAATTCTATTCACTTTATATATGATACCCAGTTATACCTGTCAATCAAGCCCAATTAAATGAATCAGTTATCTAAGTTACAAGCATGTCTTAAGGACAGAAAATCCTGGATGAGCTTGCAATTTTCTGATACTAAACTCAGAAAGAACTGAAATTCTTGTACTTGGCCCCAAAACTCTCCAAGACCCACTGTCTAAAGATATAGTTACTCTAGATGGTATTACCTTGGCCTTGATCAGGACATGTCCTTTAACTCCCACATAAAGCAGACCTCTAGGACTGCCTTTTTTCATTTATGCATATGACAAAAATTAGACACATCCTGTCACTGACGGATGCAGAAAAACTAATCCATGCATTTGTTACTTCAAGGCTGGATTACTGCAACTCTTTATTATCAGGCTGCCCCAATAAGTCCATTAAAACGCTCCAATTAATTCAGAATGCTGCAGCACGAGTACTGACAGGAACTAGAAAAAGAGATCACATCTCTCCTGTACTAGCTTCTCTGCACTGGCTCCCTGTAAAATGTAGAATAGAATTTAAAATCCTCCTCCTCACCTATAAAGCTCTTCATGGTCAGGCCCCGTCATATCTTAAAGAGCTCATAGTACCCTATTACCCCACCTAGAACACTACGTTCTCTGAATGCTGGGCTACTTGTGGTTCCTATAGTCTCTAAAAGTAGAACAGGAGCCAGAGCCTTCATCTCAGGACACTTTTCAAATAGAGTAGGTCTAGACCGAACTCTTAATCACTGCTCATTGTCCCCTATCGTTGTTGTTGTCGTCGTTGTCATCTTCTTCATGTTCATCATCATCAGTCACTACTATTAGTGTAGTTGTTGCTACTGTTGTTGCTGTCTGTCTGTCTGTCTGTCTGTCTGTCTGTCTGTCTGTCTGTCTGTCTCTGTGTCTCTCTCTCTCTCTCTCTCTCTCTCTCTCTCTCTCTCTCTCTCTCTCTCTCTCTCTCTCTCTCCCCAACTGGTCGAGACAGACGACCACCCACCTAGAGCCGGAGGATCTGTCCTAGGTTTCTGCCTTTTAACAGGCAGTTTTTCCTTGCCCTTGTCGCCAAGTGCTTGCTCATGGTGGTACTGTTGGGTCTCTGTAATTAATGTTATAAAGAGTTCGGTCTAGACCTGCTCTATTTGAAAAGTGTCCTGAGATAACTTCTGTTATGAATTGGCGTTATACAAATAAAATGAATTGAATTGAATTGAATTGAATAGAAGCCTTGTTAGAATATTGTTGCTTTGAGACTGGAGTCTGTCCCTTGCAGCCCCACCGGTGGAGCTGCCACTAAGCATGCACACCACCTACAGAACATAGATTTTTTCTGATTCCATACTGCAATGGATCCATATCTGCAATCTGTAGCCATGCTTCTTCCAAAAATAGACGTGAAATGGCATTTATACATGCTTGTGTGTACATGCAGCCTGAGGGGGGAATAAAGCAGCTTGTTAGCTACGCAGCTTGCTGCTGATACATCTAAATATCAATGCCCAGCTAGGAGCAAAACAGACAAAAACAATACGCAGCCACATACTGTATAGGAACTCTCTCACACACAATTATTAACTCTTCAACAGTTTAATAAAAATAATAAATGTTAACAAATGTCTACAGCACTGTACACTAAGAGCTCATTGTGTTCTTCAGAAAGACCAAAGGTGGCAGATGCCCAACTGTATCCACAGGACAGAGGTTGTTGCCTGCTTCAAGATTCTAGATGTCCACATCTCCAAGGACCTCTCTTGGGCCATCAACACTTTGACAATGGTCAGGAAGGAACACCAGAATTTGTTCTTCCTGAGGGGACTTAAGAAAGTCCATCTGTTTCTTCAGATTCTGGTGAACTTATGCTTACTTATGCTGCAGCCTTACCAAACATATGGCAGTGTAGTATGGCAACTACAAAAGAAAACACTACAGAGGGTTGTGACTGCACCCCCTGCCACTGAGGCTCAAGCAATGTCTGCACAGGGTGTGGAGCATCAGCAGGGACACCTCTCACCCCAGCCACAGAGTGTTTGCTTTCCTCCCTTCTGGAGGGCGGTAGAGGAATCTCCAGTCCAAGTCCAGCAGACACAGGAATAGCCTTCACCTATGGAGCCCAGGGGATGAACCCTAATATTGTCTAGCGCAACCAACATTTTCAGTTCAGAGTAACAAACCTCAACAGCTATTGGATGTTTTGCTATGGAATTTGGTTCACACATTCTTTTACATGGGACACTTGCAAACAACTGCCGTGTACAGTGACTGTGTGCACTTTCCTAAAGTTCTGTCATTACAGTGAGGCTGTAGGGCAGATAGATGCACTGCTGTACACAAATTGTTGGTATAATGTTTCTGTTTGTGTACAGATAAAACACACAAGAACCATGTCTTGACTCCAGCTCCATGTTCAGCACACAGACATGGAAAGGAAGTAATGAGCAAGATTCTCATAATGTTGAATTATTCTTTAAAAAAACAGAAGGCAGCAATGAAATGCCATGATGAATCAGAGTAACTGGGAGCTTTATAAATTACTTTACCTTGTCATATTGTCATAGATCTCTACGCATACTGTATATGTAAATATTCAAACTGTAGCTGTGTGTATACTGTTGACAGTATATACAGTAATTAGTAGACAGACAGCAGGTCTGTGAAGTTAACATGCATTCTTTCTAATGGCCAGCAGGGGGCAGCTCCATGGGCTGCACAAAATAAGTCTGAGAGTAATGAGACTTATGGATAACTTAATTTATTAGCTCAGTAAACTGTTTCCTAATGAGTTTATGGTCTCAATATCTAGTTTCTTTCTGTTCTTCTTTCATACAGCATGATGTTTGTTTAGTAATGGACAAATTGAGAAAAAGTGCAGCCAATGACAGCAGCTCAACACGTACTACCTCACCTCTGCTTGCTCTGAAAAGCCAACATGGTAAAGGCTATCATGCCAAACTCGAAAACGGTTGTCTACAAAGCAAGGGGTGACATCACAATTGGTTCACACTTGTCTACCGCACCTGTAGAACTGCACTGCCCTCGTCACTGAACAGAGTTAAAAAAGTTGGTTCAGGACCCAACTTCCGACCTCTGGCTTCAACCATTAAAATATCAAGAATAATAAGCTGGTCTCAGCTGGAATGTTCTGCAGAGCTGCGAGCAAGAACTATAATCTTAAAATAACAACATTCAGCATTAATAATAAGAGTGTGTGTGCTCAGTCCAGTTTGTAATTTGTTCTGCAGTCGCAGCTGTTACTTTGGTTAGTTTTGTGAATCAATCTCAGCTCAACATCTGAGGAGTCTTAACCATCATACTCCTTTTGAACTATTACATTTCAATGAGAAAATAACATGAATGGTCCTCTGCAGACAGATACACTGGACGGACTAAAGAACATGTTTAAACGTAAAAGAGGGACAGTTTTGCCAGACAGCTCTTTCTGATGGGAAACTAAATCTGTTGTATCCATCTATATTCTAGCTATAGTAGTATCATAGCTAGGCTAGCTATGGACTCCAAGGAATAGATACTGGAAAACAGAATTTAATAGTGTGTAGACAAATTTGTTTGCTGGCTTAAATACTTGATCTTTCATTTATTTTTTTCAAAAAATTGCTTTTTTGATAATAAAAGCTGCTGACCCCTGAGTTTGTTGTGGCTACCTATGCATGGGGCCATTTTTGTGCTAAGACTGATCAGAGACCAGTAGCAGAACAAGAAGTAAATGTCTCTGTGCTAAAACCTGTCTCTTAGAGATTACATTCATGCATCGGCTTTGGCTCAGTAGGTAGAGCAGGTTGTCCACTAATTAGAAAGTTGGCAGCTCAAACCCCGGCTCCTCCCACTGCATTGCCTTCAGGAAGATACTGAACCCCAAATTGCTCCAGATGTGCATGAGTATATGAGTGAGTTAGTTTCTGTCATCACTGTGTGAATGTGGCATATAGTGTACAGGGCTATAAGTACAGTCCTTTAACCATTTATAGTTCTACATAACCCAATTAGGTTGGGGTGACAGACATCATTTCTGGCTGGATTATGTTCAGAGGCAACTTTTTTCTTCTTTTTTTTTTATTTAAATGAAGTGCTACATTTATGTATCACAACAGGAAGGTGGTCAGGGTGGATGGTGGAATGTGATTCCAGAAACCGGGGTTCACATCCATAGTCCCGTGTATTTAGGGTACAGGGAAAGTCAACTGTTGATAATCACATTGTGTTTTGTGTCCCTGCTGACTTTTGCTGTATTAAATAAGACCATGATCAACCTTAAAGAGCTGCTGGTGCATTAGCATAACCATAAAAAAAGTTTAATAATACTGTACAAATGAAATACCCTGTCAGTTAACATTTTACTGAAATGTTTAGTATCAACATCTTTGCGACTTGCCAGATGCATTAATTAACAATAGTTTGCTTGTTATGTTGATAGAAAACATAATCCAGTCTATGTGACCTCCAGAACATATTTTCTGTTGCAAATGAGTTTGATATGAGCATAACTTCTAGGACACGGGGTTAGTGTAGTGTAATCACTGGAAACCCTGCTCTGTTGTTACAGATAAATCAAAGATGTCATTGCATTACAGCTGTCTCCAGCCTCCTCCATCTCTGTCTCTCTAATGCTTCGACTTAGAAACAAACTTTGAGTGCTGGCTGTAAGGGTGCCTAAGGGCTAAACATGGAATATGAGGATAATCCTCATAGAAGGAGGTTTTTACCCTCCAAATTTGCGGGGAGAAAAGTCTTCCTCTTCCTCCTCCGTGTCTCTGTTAAAGCAGACTTTCTTCCTCCGCTTGTTGTAATTCAAGTTTCTCAGCATAATATTCAGGTTGCTTTTGGACAGGGTCAGGGCAGCTCATCACTTGGTTTTTGATGCATCAGCAAAATGCTAAAGGTTCACTGGGGCCCCCTTTAAAAGAGGGACCTTTAGCCTCTTGCTCTTGGAAGTCAGCTCATTTGACTGTCATGTTATGTGCACAGAATCTGCTTGATTGTATGTCAAAGGATAGATTCAGTATTACTTGGAGTACTACTGCAAATGTGAAAAAATTTATAAATGTATAAAAATTGTATAAAGCCTTTAGTTTCTCCAGAGGAAGCTGTGCAAAGTCTGATAAATTCCCTCAAGTGATGTCACTTCAAACAAACACGGGACTTTCAGCCAGGAAAACAGAGTTTGTGTCCCTCATGAAACCAAAAATACTTTTTAAGTTTCATAACGTTTAGTATGTGAGTTGCATCACATTTTTTGTTTCCACCTGAAACAGAAAAGAATCTGTGTGTCTTTTCCCTTAACAAAATATAGTTGTTATTCATTAGTGTCTGTCTCTCTCTCTCTCTCTCACACCAACTGTTCGAGACAGACGACCACCCACCTAGAGCCGAAGGGTCTGTCCTAGGTTTCTGCCTTTTAACAGGCAGTTTTTCCTTGCCCTTGTCGCCAAGGTCTTGCTCATGGTGGTACTGTTGGGTCTCTGTAAATAATGTTATAAAGAGTTCGGTCTAGACCTGCTCTATTTGAAAAGTGTCCTGAGATAACTTCTGTTATGAATTGGCGGTATACAAATAAAACTGAATTGAATTGAATTGAATTGAATTGAATTGAATATGTGGGTTTATTGTCTGTGTTTTGTCCTGGCAACAACTTTATATGTAAATACCAGGAAGTGTCCTTCCTCCATTGCTCTACATGGAAAGAATATAGAAACACAGAATTTTGCACTATAAAGATGGTATGTTTGGAAGATATCAAACCTATTTTTAGCATACAATCAAGTAACCAGAGCAGGCTTCACTGTATATGTAAAAAATATCCCATACACTGATCAACAAGTTTCTATATGAGGAATTGTGAAGTTACATGCTGACAGGTCATTTTCACACACTGCAGAGGAAGAAACCAAGCTTTCATTTTAGGCAGAAACCATTTGAATCAAAATCCAGCCAGATATCCAATTTTTGCGGTTCAGGTCCGGGTTGTGTTGGCAGCAAACGAAGCAAACTAGTCAAAATTCCCATCTCTAGCTATTTCCTCCAGCTCCCCTTGGGGTACCCCGAGATGTCCTAGACCTAGGGCCAGCTGGAATATGTAACCCCCAGAGTGAGTTCTGGATCTACCCCTCCCAGTCAGACGTGCCTGGAATACCTCCAGAGCAAGGCATCCAGTGTGCATTAATGCGCTGTCTGAACCACCTCAATGGTTTCAATCAGCAGCCCTGGCACCTTTGGATGTTAGAGCTCCTCCCCCTGTCTGTAAGGGTGACTAAGAGCATAGGTTTGCATATGGATGGCAGGGAATTGTTCCTACCTATATTTGAGCAAACTTTTCTGCATCCTTACAGTGAAGTCATATAAGATCTCTGAAAGGTTATGTCTCAAAGGCAACCAATTTAAGATGCTAGTGTTTGATTGGCTAAAAGGGAAGGAGGCTTGAAGTTATACATACAAATTTCTAATCTAAAAATCTAAAGTATCAACTGCCAGACACGCAGAAGGCAAGAGCTGATCAGTGCTGCTAACAAAGTTATAACCGCGTATGACACAAATTTCAGTTGATAAAATGTTTTGGGGGGGATTTATTCAGTGTGTAATGGCTACACATTTTTTTTACAATTGGAAAATGTAAGAATCATTTTAGGCCTTTTGTCTGCAAGCTCATTCTTTCGGTCATTAGCCAGAGCTCATGACAATAGGTGAGGGTTGACCCGCTGTTAAAGGTCTGGTGTGTGGGATTTTGTTGCATCTAGCGGTGAAGTTGCAGATGGCAGCCATTTGGATACAGCTAAGCCCTCCAAGAGTGTAGAAGAAACTACAGTGGCCATGAATATACAAAAGGGCCTATCTAGAGCCAGTTTTTGGTTTGTATGTTCTGTGCTACTGTAGAAACATGGTGGACTCAATAGAAGAGTAGATAGATGTGTAGATTATAAACAGCTTATTCTAAGGTATCAAAAACACAACACTGAATGTTATATTCAATTTCTGACAATAGATCCTCTGAAATGTTACACACTTTAAATTGAACTATGACTCTCAAACTCAGCTCCCTTTCCACAGCAGTATTCTAGTATAACCTTACCCTCAAACAGGATCAAGACTCCAAGATCCCTTCTTTCAGGCCAAAGCAAGCGGTCAGTGTTTTCCAATCCAGTCACATGACCTTGAGGAGCTGACTCATCTCAGCCGAGTGAAATCCTGAGGCCAGTTCACTGAGTGACTCAAAATCTTGGTTCTCAAACTGCGTACATGCATGGGTGACACAGCTCAACTGGTTCAACCATTGACAGTATGTATAATGGACAGAGCTTCCGGGTCTGATAAGTGAAGCCACCATAGTGGACAAAAGTGTCTTTTTTAGGCTCTTTGGTTGTTTTTTTACTTTTGAAAACTTACTTAGGAATCGGGGGAGAGAGAGGGGATGACATGTAGCAAAGGGCCACAGGTCGGTTTTTGCCGCTGCAGCAAGGACTCAGACTTGGTACATGGGACTCCAACTCTACCAGGTGAGCTATCCGGCTGCCCCACTACTATGCACTCTAATAGAGAAATGACTAGGCTTCTCACTTGATAATGAGTTTATGGTCTCAATCTCTAGTTTAAAGTCTTCTTCCATACAGCATGATGTTTATTTAGTAAATTACGGTCCCATTTAGAGTAAAATAGACAATAGGTTCATACTTTGATTCAACTAAAACGCTGAACTCATTGACATCATAAAACACTGCTGTGCTGCCAGAGCCAACTACCTGCTCTCTGAACTATATGGAGTATTGTAAGCTCTCAATTGCAGCAGAGCTTCTCCCCACTCCTAATTTCTTTAAGCCTGGATGCTTAAAGTATCACTTCTCTTCTCTTAAGCCTTCAATACAATTCAATTCAATTTTATTTGTATAGCGCCAATTCATAACAGAAGTTTTCTCAGGGCACTTTTCAAATAGAGCAGGTCTAGACCGAACTCTTTATAACATTATTTACAGAGACCCAACAGTACCACAATGAACAAGCACTTGGCGACAAGGGCAAGGAAAAACTGCCTGTTAAAAGGCAGAAACCTAGGACAGACCCTTCAGCTCTAGGTGGGTGGTCGTCTGTCTCGACCAGTTGGGGTGAGTGAGTGAGAGAGAGAGAGAGAGAGAGAGACAGAAAGAGAGAGAGACAGACAGACAGACACTTTTGCCCCACACAACGGGAAGTGAACTTGGTGACTTCACATACATTCATCATAGCACAGAGACAGCTCTGGTTAAAGTTAATAATGACCTTTTGATTGCTTCTGACAATGGACTTGTCTCTGTACTTGTATTATTAGATCTTAGTGCTGCATTTGACACCATTGACCATAATATTCTTTTACAGAGACTTGAGCATAAAATTGGCATTAAAGGAACCGCACTAAGCTGGTTTAAGTCATTTATCAGATCGTTCGCAGTTTGTACATGTTAGCGATGAATCTTCAATAAATACTATAGTTAGTCATGGAGCTCCACAAGGTTCTGTACTTGGACCAATACTATTTACTTTATATATGCCTCCTTTAGGCAACGCTCCAATTAATTCAGAACGCTGCAGCACGAGTACTGACAGGAACTAGAAAAAGAGATCACATCTCTCCTGTACTAGCTTCTCTGCACTGGCTCCCTGTAAAATTTAGAATAGAATTTAAAATCCTCCTCCTCACCTATAAAGCTCTTCATGGTCAGGCCCCTTCATATCTTAAAGAGCTCATAGTACCCTATTACCCCACTAGAACACTACGTTCTCTGAATGCTGGGCTACTTGTGGTTCCTATAGTCTCTAAAAAGTAGAACAGGAGCCAGAGCCTTCAGTTACCAAGCTCCTCTCCTGTGGAACCAGCTTCCAGTTGTGGTTCAGGAGGCAGACACCCTCTCCACATTCAAGAGTAGGCTTAAGACATTCCTCTTTGATAAAGCTTATAGTTAGGGCTGGATCAGGTGAGTCCTGAACCATCCCTTAGTTATGCTGCTATAGGCCTAGACTGTCCGGGGGACTTCCCATGGTGCACTGAGCTCCTCCCTTCCTCTCTCTTTCTGCACTCATTCATGTCCCATTAATGCATGTTACTAACTTCACTTATTCCCCGGAGTTCTTGTGCTTTCTCGTCTCGCAGGTTCTCATGGATCCTGGTGGAGCCTCCTGCCATGGTCCTGCTTGATTGCCATTGCTAATATCACTGATATTAGTCTTATTATTATTAAGTATAAGTTATAGCTACAGTTACTGTTGTTGCTGTTGTCACTGCTCATTGTCCCCCATCATTGCTGTTGTCATGTTCATCATCATCAGTCACTACTATTAGTGTAGTTTTTGCTACTGTTGTTGCTGTGCACCTGTCTGTCTGTCTGTCTGTCTGTCTGTTGGGTCTCTGTAAATAATGTTATAAGGAGTTCGGTCTAGACCTTCTTTATTTGAAAAGTGTCCTGAGATAACTTCTGTTATGAATTGGCGCTATACAAATAAAATTGAATTGAATTGAATTGAATTGAATTGAATATACAGTATGACAAGCATAACCTACCTTAATTAATAATTATTACATTATGCAACATCTTTTTCTTTTCCTGACTTGCATGATTCTCCCAGTGTGGGGCATGCCCTTGTACAGTGGGCAGATCACTTCCTGGCCTCTCCACTGCTCAGATACATTTATCTCAAACTTGGCCAGGAGCCATTAGCTCAACTGGCCTGCATGATCACCAGCATCAAAGTCAGGTCAATGTCAGCTGCTCTGCCACGTCCATCTGTGGGTAAGTAGCCACCAGTAGCTAGCAGTAAAGTTCAGTGCACACTATTAACAGCTCAATTTGAAATTAAGCTCTGTGTAGCTCCCACCAGTGATACTGGGAGAGTTTTGGGGCTGTATTCCCTGTAGCTGAGTAGAGATGAAGCAAGTAGCTTTTTTAAATCAACATTATTTAACTTTTCTACCTTAAATAATTTTGATGGAGAATGATGCTACTGTCATTCCCACTCTGCGACCTGTATGCCTGTTATGCACTATATAACACCGGTGTCTGGGTTGGGACAAGTGTTTAAAGCTTTAAGTCACAACTATGTCACGGATTTCGGTAAAACTGGATCATATTTTCTGGATTTACAAAGGTTTCCTGATGGACAGTGAAGCAACTGCTGTGAAATGTTGCCACTGGTATCTCTGCTCAGTTAGGAGGGGATGCCAAAACATTTTGATCTTCCTCTGGTGGCTGACTGCAGTATAGGTCATAAAGCCTGCTGCTTCCATTTTAACAGACATGTGCCAAAGTTAAAAATCAAATTAGATGCGAAATAATATTTCATATCATTTTAGGTAGTTCTTATCACTCTGATTTATGTTCAAGTCTTCAGTCGTTCTCTGATCAGCTTGGTTTTAATGAGTTATTTGAAGCTATAAAAATGGTCTTTCACATAATGATTGACAACTGAGCCCTGCTCGCCATTGAGTTGGCTGGGTGTATGGGCGTATTGTGTGATTTTTGTGTGATTTGTATATTTTTGTGTGATTTGTATGTTTTATGCACCAATGCACCAAGACAAATTCCTCGTATGTGTAAAAACCTACCTGGCAATAA